ACCGTGTCACGAAGGCCACTTAGAACAAACTGCAGACCTTCATCAACAGCTATCTTCGCTCAATGCTATTCAAGATCATCAGATGACCGGTCAGAAGAGATCAGCAACAGGGAGGGATCTCTGGGAGCGAACCAACTCAGCAGGAACCGATTGTGAAAGAAATAGGCAGGAAGAAATGGAGATGGATTGGCCATACTCTCAGGAAACAAACCATCAAGTGACATCACTAGACAAGCCATTTCTCGAGTGGAACCCGAAAGGGAAGCGGGGAGTTGGTCGTCAGTGCGAGGGTGACTTGGAGGAGGTGATGTGAAGAGGAGATGGAAACGTGTGGGCAGACTTGGAGCCAGGTGAATACTCTAGCAGAGAACCGAACGCAATGGAGATGTGCTTGGCTGAAGCCCTATGTTCCTCTAGGAATTAAAGGAAACAATAATAATAATAGGCTAAGGACAAGTGGGACCTGGCAAAAAATGCTCCTACGAAATATCAGAATCATCAGCTTATCTTCCCTGACATTTGACTCAAATCGAGAGGAATAGAAGCTTCAACTCACGTGAATGAAAATAACTGGGCCATTCAAGTTCATTCGCTGATTGGTAATTAGTGGTTCTTAAAGTTTAACTTGGCCCAGATGTGTAATGACCGGAACTACGACCCAGTGGACTATGGACGAATAATAACTTAATGCGCTGGCTAATCTGTCCTAATCGCAAGCCGACAACAACACCGCCGGGTCGCAAAGACTGAACGTTGATAAGAGAGCTTTTACTGTCTCGAACAACAGTCAAAAAAGGTGGACAGCGTTTGCGTATATATATATATATATGTTTGGATGACCTTGGGAAGCACTAATGTCACTGATAAGTTAAGACAGTGAACAACCAATAGAATTTCAAAGGCTGTAAGTAGGGTGAGAGAAAATCAGGTCTATAGATCAATAAGTTGGATGAGAGTAATACAAACAGACGGATAGAATATTAGGTCTATATGCCAAGATGGGGTTTATTTTTAGCTTTCTTAAAGATGAATCCCTCCCTTTACTAGCCAGCCAATTGATCGAAATCAAGTAAGTGGCCTGTCTCTTCTACAAACGTCTGTCTGTCTATGCTATAAAAGGGGACTATATAATCCTACGTCAACAAGACATAAGTAGGTCAGTTGAGTCTACCGACAACAACTTTTCGTCATAACTTTAGTGATCCATCTACAAACTGGTCAGAGTCACAATAACATTACTATATTATTGTTTCCTTCAATTCCTAGAGGAACACAGGGCTTCAGCCAAGCACATCTCCATTGCGTTCGGTTCTCTGCTAGAGTCTTCACTTGGCTCCAAGTCTGCCCACACGTTTTCATCTCCTCTTCACATGACCTCCTCCTCCAAGTCATCCTTGCACTGACAACCAACTCGCCGCCTCCCTTTCGGGTTCCACTCGAGCAATGGCTTGTCTAGTGATGTCACTTGATGGTTTCCTCAGAGTATGGCCAATCCATCTATTTCTTCCTGCCTATTTGTTTCACAATCGGTTCCTGCCAAGTTGGTCCGCTCATTGCCAGAGATCCCTCCCTGTTGCTGATCCTTTATGGCTGGCCAACTAATCTTGAGTGTTGAGTGAAGACAACTGTTAATGAAGGTGTGTAGTTTTTTTGAGATGCTCTTTATGACGCGCTGGCCAAGTCTCTGATCCATATAGTGAGCAGCACTGACTTCATATTGGAGATGAAAATCTGGATCTTATTTTCGATGCTGAGAGGTGCTGTTGACCTCCACACAGACTTGAGAGTAGTGAAAGCTTGTCTTGCTTTCCCAATCCTTGTTGCTTTTATATCCTCGTCAGTTCCGTCCGCCTGTAGTTGAAACGATGCTTCCCAGGTAGGTAGGTAAAAGAGGTTGTTTCTTTCAGGTTCCTCCCATTTATGCTGATCGTTATCTGTTGCTGTTGTTCTTGCTCAGGAATCTTTATCACCTCTGTTTTCTCTACGTTCACCTGAAGTGAAGTCCTATCTTCTCTGGATGCTTCTTGTTCCAACTTGTTGCTTTCCACTTGCATATCTTCCAATTTTTGGGAAATCAGACATATATCATAGGCGAATTCCAGATCCTCAAACCTTTTTGTGTGAGTCCATTTTATGCCTGTTTCCTCGCTGCCCGGCCCGCTGTCTGTCTGTCGCATTATCCAATCTACTGCAATCAGGAAAATCATTAGCGATAGTAGGCAGCCTTCCTTGTCTTACTCCTGTCCTCACTTCCAAGGATTACGTGAGTTTTCCGTTGTGGATTACTTGGCATGCAGCATTGTTGTATAGCTGTTGGATGAGATGTATTATTGTCGGTGGCACCCTTTGGTAGTAGCGAAGTAGTTGCCAAATCACCTCTCGATCGACGCTGTTAAAGGCTTTTTCAAAGTCGATGAAGTTGAGATAGAGAGGTGACTGCCATTCCAAGCTTTGTTCAATGATAATCCGTAATGTGGCGATCTGATTAATACATGACTTGTTTCTCCTGAATCCAGCCTGTTCCGGTCGAAGCTTTACATCCAGGGCTTGTTTGATTCTCTCTTGGATGATGCGGTTTAATATTTTGCTTGGGATGGACAGGAGCATAATTCCGCGCCAGTTCTTGCATTGACTTAAGTCTCCTTTCTTTGGTAGTTTGAATAAGTAGCCTCTCTTCCAATTCTCGGGTACTTTGCCTTCTTTCCACACCTTCTCCAGTAGTGGTGTCATCAAGTCCGGTGATGTCTCTGGGTCCATTTTCAATGCTTCTGCTGGGATTCTATCTGGTCCTGCTGCTTTTCCAGCTTTCAGCATATTGATTGCCTTCAAGACTTCTGATTTCGTCGGGGGGGGGGGGGTGGTGTTCACTGGTAGCTCCGTCTCCGTTGTTGGTATTGTTGGGCGCGTTGTAGGTGGTTCTCAATTTAGGAGTCTTTTGAAGGGTTCACAACAACATGATCACTAGGAAATCCAACTATACCTTATGCAGTTCTCGATGGGTACTTCTGACGAGTTTGAAACAATACGACAACAAAATCTGACTGGAAGAATTTAGTTTTCAATAGCAATAATAACAATAATGATTTCAGTACATGTCTAGTTCTTTCCCTTCCACAGGAACACAAACGACTTCATGACTTCGTAAGTTTCAGAAGCAGTGGTGTTATTACTAATATTTTTTTTAACACAGTAGGGTTACTTGTCCCATGTCCAACAACTTCCCCTCTTTTTCAAGGCTTACTATCTATCAGAAAACTAGATGAGGTTTTAGAGTGGATCGCCGGGGAATCGAACCTTAGTTACCAGCGTCGCTGGCGAGAATCTTACACCATTGAGACGCTGATGCGAAATCCCAAAAATATAATTATCCTAATATTCTAGTGGAAAGTCATTACAGCTGAGAGCCACCGTGTCAGATGTGATCTGGATGATGATATACTACTCACAGGTCGCTGAATTCCGACCCAAGTGGCCAGATAGTCAAAAACTAACTGGCCTCACAAAATGAAGGTATTTGGATTGGTGGACTCCTGTGATAAGTTCGTAGGTGTGCACTGATGTGAAGACTACCAAACTAAAACGATTGACTAAAACTGGTTTCAACATAGACCTTTGCACAGATGTGCACCAGATCCTCTTAGCCAAACTTCTTCCATGTACCACAGAAAGCAAAAGAAGAGCGTAAAGAGAGATTCAAAGAGAGAGAATAATCAGAAACGTGGGGGAAGAACAGTACAATTTCATAGGATATTACAAATCACAGAGATTGAACGCATCTGCGCTATCTATTAAAAACGATTTTGAGCCGTATCACTGATTGTCTCCAGCCTACGTTGGTTCTTACTATCTCGAGGATCCCAATCAGTTAGGAAGCCTGCACATCCACAAGTGGTTTAAATTGACTGTTGTGGATTTCATTGACTGATTATTATTGTTTCCTTTAATTCTTAGAGGAACATAGGACTTCAGCCGTGCGTCTCTATTGCGTTCGGTTCTCTCCTAGAGTCTTCACCTGGCTCCATGTCTGCCCACACACCTTCATCTCCTCTTCACATGACCTCCTCCAAGTCACCCACCCTCGCACTAACGACCAACTCGCCGCTTCCATTTCGGGTTCCACTCGAGCGATGGCTTGTCTAGTGTGATGTCACTTGATGGTTTATTTCCTCAGAGTATGGCCAGCCAATCCACCTATCTCCATTTCTTCCTGCCTATTTGTTTCACAATCGGTTCCTGCTGTGTTGGTTCGCTCATTGCCAGAGATCCCTCCCTGTTGCTGATCTCTTCTGACCGGCCATCTGATCTTGAGTATTGAGCGAAGACAACTGTTGATGAAGGTCTGTAGTTTGTTTGAGGTGCTGTTTATGACGCGCAGTGCAAGTCTCTGATCCGTATAATGAGTAGCACTGACTTCACATTGGAGTTGAAAATCCGGATCTTATTTTTGATGCTGATTGCTGTTGACCTCCACACAGACTTGAGAGTAATGAAAGCTTGTCTTGGTTTCCGATTCTTGCTTTGATATCCTCGTCAGTTCCGTTCGGCTGTAGTTGAAACGATGCTTCCCAGGTAGGTAGGTAAAAGAGGTTGTTTCTTTCAGGTTCCTCCCCATTGACTGATGGAGCCATGTTTTAGTTTGACCATCACTTTTCCAACCTAATCTATCTTACACATTAGCTAACGTTTCCTGTCCGTTGAGGCAGAAGATGGCTAGGCATACGTAACACATGTCCTAACCACCTCTCTCTCAATCGATGTAACTTTCCAACCTCACCGATTGGTTTCGCCTACTTACCTAGTAGGCACTCGATCGAGGCCTAACCCTATCATACCACCACTTAACACATACGGGAGATAGAAAGCAGGCGCCTATGATCAAAGATTGGAGAAATTACACATCATCAGCGAAACAGAAAAAACATGAAAATATTTTATTTGAAAAAATGTGTCATCTCTTTGAAATTAATTACAAAAAAGATGTGATAAAATCAAACGTTCCCTCACTCACTCATTAACTCCCACCCCCACAGATGCACTCGCATCTGTCATAAATACTGTTCTCTTATCACAATGAAAGACATCATAAAGAAAGATTGTAGGAGTCAGTGAGGGGGGGGGGTGGGAATGAAAATTACTGTAGTAGGAGGGGCGGGGGAAGCTCTGCAGGAGAAAGCATGATTAAATAACATGGATGACATCACACACAATGCAGGGTTATCATAGAAATTACACTTTTAGAAGTAAATAAATAAACCGTCTTGACAAAGTTTATGAATAAGTACAAACGTACGCACGCACACACCCACGCAAACACACACATACATACGTGAATATACAGACTCAAATAAAGGAAATAAAAGTCATGTGTTATAGTGTCTTATTCACACACACACACACACAACAAGAAAATTAGTAGACGAACGAATTGAAAGGCAATCAATCGAACTGCATTTTACAACAGTGAACACAGAACACATGTAGATCATGATGTTCTTGATGATGACGAAGAAGACGAACGAAGTAGTAGTAGATCAAATGTGTGATGAAAGTGTTAAAGACATTTGTAGGATTTCTTTCACGTACGGTTTAAGATCACTCCAAAATTGAAGGCATACATATCGGTAGGCTTCAAGTAGTGTGAATGATTTCAAACGGATTAACAGAGATGAAACAATAGACGATGTTAAGGATGGATTCGATTCTTGGATGATGCTGCTGATGATTGGTGTTTCTGATGACTGTTTCGATGATGAATCACAACCTTCTTCTATATTCGATAGATCTGCTGATAACGACGATGATGGTGATGTAGTAGGCGGAGGATGAGGATGAGGAGACGGCTGTGAGCATAGTCTCTCTAAATTCTTCATACCATGTGATGCACTAGTATTGATCATCCATGCATCGAAAAGACAACATAGACAATCCAAGAAATTGTACATCCTGAAAGACAAAAACAAAAAAAATATTTTAAAAAAAAATTGAAAATTGTCAAGTTTTGGTGTTTGCTGGGATTTGATTAGTCACCGTATTGATGATCATGAGATGACATCAGTTAGAGACCCATTGAAATCCACCACTGGACAGCTAGTTTGCGACTAACCCGTCGTCATCAGTACGCACCCCCTTGCCAGGGGTCTTTATTAAAATAAATTTTACCCACAATGGAATTATACTCTACCACCATAGTGCACAAGTTGTATTCTTATATCAACAGAGTAATTTAACCACATTCTATGCATGTAATTGTTTAGGTCTTCTAACCCTAACAATAACCCTAATCTTTCCTGAGCATAACACTAACGTGAAAATATGCCTAAACTAACTGTAATCTAACTCGAACCAACCCTAAATTCGCCTTTATTAGGTTAATCTAACCCTAACTCGTCCTTGGCTTAAAGAGTAACTTAATCTTTCCCAAACCTAAGCTGAAAATTCCCATAAATCCCATTTAATAGCATAACACTTCGATGAGCATATTTTTGATTGATGATGGCAACATTATCTGCCGGATTTCACTAACTTGCTCAGTGAGCATTTCAAGGTCATTGGTGCGCGGTCGCACTCCATTGGTAGTTGTTGTTAGTGATGCGTAAAGTTTAACTTAGCCGGGCTTTGATAGGTCAAGTTTCAAGTTACATTACGAATTGACATCAGTTAGAGAACTTATTAAAAATCCCAGGGGAGTAGCGGACAGCTGTTTAGTTAGGACTGTTCAGTAGCACCAGAGATAGCGAATCGATAGAAATTAGAACTCAAGGACCAGCCTTTGAGATCTTCCGCTGGCTGGCTGGTCGACCAGCTTACCTAGTAACCTGACGATCCTGGTTCCTACCTCTTATCGAAGGGATCGATGTTATGTACTGCTGAAGAATCCCAGACAAGGAGGAAACAGCTCTGTTCAATACTCCCCGTTGACTTTCAATGTTCCCCTAATGAATGCCGTCAGCTCATGATCTAAGCTGAAATCAAACAAATGCTTACACACACACAAATCAATAAAAATAATAAAAGACAAATTCAGTGAAGAAAATTTTCTTTATCGACGAAATCATCTTCACAGGATGGCTGTACACAGTCGTATTTATATTTACCAAAAGCACGTATAGTAGTCTATTATTGAGTGAGAGGGTGAGGGGTGACATAATTGATATAATTACTCGGAAGTGGCTTTAGAAGTTAAAAGTTGTAAATTACGTGGTACTCAACGGCACGGCTGAGCTACCGATCAATTTCTACAGCTGACAAATGATCAATGGATGCGTGAAGGATAAACTGTTGCTCTGGGACACTTCAATGTGTGTCTATAAATTCACCTGCTCGTGTTGAGCTAGTTATATAGGCCGCACACACACACACAAATCGCACACTTTCCAAACGCATCTCTGAACATTATCCGGCATGGTTAGCAAAGGGACAATGCAAGACAATTACTAGCTCAATTCTCGAGCCACGTAGCTCCACCAGAGTCGTCTTTCAAGATTATCTACAAGGTGAGGACAAATGGTACAAAGGGCGTCAGGTTTAGACTTTTGTGTATAGCAGAGGCGTTGGCAATTCGTCGATACAACCCCGAATTGTGTACACAGAAAAAGTTTGTCCAGTCTCTTATTCTATCTTGATCTTAACATCTTCATTAGTCGATCCCTGTGAAAAATTTTAATTTTTTAAATTTTACTTTTAGTTTGTCTTTCACTTTAATAATTAATTCACTATTATCATTCTCATATGTTCCCTGTTTTACATTTTCACACCCTCTTCACACTTGTTAAATTGAAACTCAACTACCACCTTTCTTCTCACTACTCAATAGCAATTTTAACCTTATCAAGTGTTTAACTTTGTACCGTTGAGTACCACGTAATTTACAACTTTTAACTTTTTACATCTAAAGCCACTTCCGAGTAATTATGTCAATTATGTCACCCCTCACCCTCGTACTCAATAATAGACTACTATGCACATTTTTGGTAAATTTAAATACAGAAAATATCCCCCATTTAGACATTTGGAAAACAGAAAGATTGACCGAAGAAATATTTACCTTTCAATTAGATCCTCATCTTACTCTGGCTCTACTCTAATATACACAGACAGCATTTTTATTACAATACACAACAGTTTACCAATCAAGTGGCACTGATAGGTTTGTTAACAATAATTAAACAGTGTCAAAGTGCCAATGGGTTGATAATTAACGCAGAAAATCAATACACACAATTAAAAGGTAGAAATGGATAGAATAAATTAATTTTACAAGAATAACACGTAATTAAAGATGAAGTGGTCAAAATAAAAATAAAATAATTTGGACAATTATAATTTAATAGGGGGAGGGGGAGGGGGGCGACGTAGTCCTGTCTTGTAACGGTGGCCACGGTAAGGGAAGTGGCTGTACAAATTTCTTCTGTACACATAGGCTTGGTTTCTTCTGGTGGATTCCGATTGCTTCAGCTGTCGCATGTAGAAGACGAACTCGTAGAGCAAACTTAAGATTAGCAGGAATGCGATAAATAATTTTAAATGCAGTATTCACATCAACCTTGTGCTCAGTATCAACAAGGTGTGCTAAAATAGAGCTACGAATAGATCTTGTTTGTCCCTTGCTTAACCATGATGGATGATGTTCAGAAATACGACGATGAAACTGCCTAATTGTACGCCCAATGTAGCTGGCTCCGCAGCTGTTCGAGAAATAAGGATAAACTACCTAAATTTGCCTCTTCTATGTGTGTCTACCAGTTTGACTGCAGCTGCGGAGCCAGCTTCATCGGGCGTACAATTAGGCAGGTTCATCGTCGTATTTCTGAACATCATCCAACATGGTTAAGCAAGGGACAAACAAGATCTATTCGTAGCTCTATTTTAGCACACCTTGTTGATACTGAGCACAAGGTTGATGTGAATACTGCATTTAAAATTATTTATCGCATTCCTGCTAATCTTAAGTTTGCTCTACGAGTTCGTCTTCTACATGCGACAGCTGAAGCAATCGGAATCCACCAGAAGAAACCAAGCCTATGTGTACAGAAGAAATTTGTACAGCCACTTTGCTTACCGTGGCCATCGTTACAAGACAGGACTACGTCGCCCCCCTCCCCCTAAACCTATTAAATTATAATTGTCCAAATTATTTTATTTTACTTTAATTACGTGTTATTCTTGTAAAATTAATTTATTCTATCCATTTCTAATTTTTAAATGTGTATAAATTTAAATACGACTGTACAGTACAGCCATCCTGTGAAGATGATTTCGTCGATAAAGAAGCATTTTCTCCGCTGAACTTGTTTTTTATTTTCTTCACGACTCAATTAATGGGTATTTTCGGTGAAAAATATTTAAAAAAAAAGAGAGTAGATTTTGAGCTTACTTTGTAATTCGTTGAATTTGATCTTCTGTCAGCTTGGCTTGTTTTCGTTTCCATTGAGTAATAAGAGTAGTTTTAAATTCATTCAATATAGTAGACAAACGTTTACAATGGAATTCAGCTGGACAGATATTATTATTATTATTATTGTCAGCGTTATTATTAGCACTACTACTATTACTACTATTCTTCTTATCATCATTGCCATTATTATTATTATTATTATTATTATTCAAGGATTGTGTAGACCATGCAGGATGTTTAGAACAACAGGGTTCATTATTCATGGTGCTCGAATTCATCCTGAGTGTGGTAATCAGATTAATAATAAAATTAACCAGTAGAATCCATCCATTCAGTTGAAATGATTGACCATCGATTTCTTCATTGATATAACTAAACAGAAAGAAAGAAAAACCAAAAATCAATGAGGACAAAATGAATACAACTCATTCATTATATATTGATAAAGTGTTGATTTGCAGGGATTCGATTAATTGCATGTTTAATTACGAGTTTTTTTTGTTTTTGATGTGGTTGTGTTCTCTGAGCTGGCTGGATGGTGGTTTATTTGCGAAGCTTTCATCATCCTACTAGGTGACATATTCAGCCCATACACTTCAATTTGAAGGAAGTGAGCTTTTAGATTTCTCCACGAGTTTATTAATCATCTTTCCTGGTAACCACCTTGGACGTGATTGGTTGTTTTTGTATGTTTTTACACCTTCTAGACTACTTGTATTGAAACTGATTGTTTTTTACTTGACCTCACACACAAAGGGTCAAAGTTCAAGTCAATACCGGGAGAGCCGTTCATAGTGTCTACCGACGCTAGCGATTACGGAATAGGTGCAGTACTCAGACATGGTGACGGAGTCGTCGAGTACGCCAGCCGTGTTTTAACGCATGCAGCATCACTCAGCATCAACAACAAAATTCGGATTTTCAATACAAGCTTCAAATCAGTCAGTACTTCTATACGGATGGATCAGAAACTTGGCGGGTCACAAAGAATATTTCCAACAGCCTGTTGCACACCTTTATCAACAACAACTGTCTTCGCTCTATACTCAAGATCAGATGGCCACCGAAAAGAATCACCAACAAGAAACTATGGGAAGAAACAAAACAAGAACCAATCGTCCAATAAATATGCAGGAGAAAGTGGAGATGGATTGGACACTCATGGCTGAGGAGGCCGCTGGGTGACATCGGACGTCAGGCCAACGCTCGAGTGGAATCCGAAAGGGAAGTGGCGAGTGGGACGTCAGTGCAAGGGTGACATGGAGGAGATCGTGGGAGGAGGAGATGAAACAGTATGGACTTACATGGATGCAGGTGAAAAGTACAGCAGAAGGCAGAAGCAAGTGGAGACGTGCAGTTGAAGCCCTATGTTCCACTAGGAACCCAAGGGAACAATAATAAAAAAATAGGTGTGAAAACGCACAAAAACAACCAATCACGTCCAAGGTTACAGTGAGAGATGATTAATAAACTCGTGGAGAAATCTAAAAGCTCACTTCAACAGATTGAAGTATGCGCTGAAGATGTCACCTAGTAGGGTGATGAAAGCTTCGCAAATTAACTATCCAGCTAGCTCAGAGAACACAACCACATCAAAATCATCCACCTGAGCTACAAATCTTCTCCATCATATCTAATTACGAGTTTATATTAGTTAGAGAGCCATTGGAAAACTACAGAGCACTGGATAGTTTAGTTAGATACCCTTCAGTAGTAGTAGTAGTAGTAGTACGCACCCATCGCCAGGGCGGGGGTTCGAACACAGAACCTCTCGGTTACAAGGCAAGTTTTTTAGACCATTCAGCCAGCCGAATGGCCTATAAATTCCAACTTCTGTTGATCCGCGATATACACACACACAGTACAAACCGACAGCTAATGTCTCTCTTAGCTGACTTGGTAGTGGACACACTGCACTGCTTACTAGAACTCCAGGTTACTTTATTGATTTTATATAGAATTTTTTGGTTTTGAATTTGTTCGTTGATAAATAATTTAAAGGGTAGTGGCTACTTGCATTGGAATTTAGGATGTGTACATCTTAGCCTATTCGATACTGGTCGGCTGGATGTGCCTGTATCCTCCAGTGCTCCCTACCCTCCTCTGCGTAGGTCTTCTGGATTTTACTAGTTCAGATGAGGCAATACTTAATTGGTCAGGAAATTATCTAGTGTTCATTAATGTAAATTAGAATTCGTATTTATACTCCACAACGGGAAACTTACGGAATCCTTTGAAGTGAGGACAGGAGTAAGACAAGGCTGGCTGGCTGCCTAGTATCGCCAATGATTTTCCTGATAGCAGTAGACTGGATAATGCGACAGAGAGCGGGCAATGAGGAAACAGGCATAAAATGGACCTCCACACACAAAAAACTTGAAGGATCTGGACTTCACCGATGATATATGTTTGATTTCCCACAAAGTGGAAGATATGCAAGCGAAAAGTAATAAGTTGGCAAAAGAAGCATCAAAGACAAGACTTCAGGTGAACATAGAGAAAACAGAGGTGATGAAGATTCCTGGCCAACACCACCAACAGCAACAACAACGACAACAGACAACAATCAGCATAAATGGGAGGAACCTGAAAGAAACCATCCTTTACCTACCTACCTGGGAAGCATCGTTTCAACTACAGGCGGAACGGAACTGACGAGGATATCAAAGCAAAAATCTGGAAAGCAAGACAAGCTTTCACTACTCTCAAGTCTGTGTGGAGGTCAACAGCACTACTCAGCATCAAAAATGAGATCTGGATTTTCAACTCCAATGTGAAGTCAGTCAGTGCTACTTACTATACGGATCAGAGACTTGCACTGCGCGTCATAAAGAGCATCTCGAACAAACTACAGACCTTCATTAACAGCCAGTTGTCTTTGCTCAATACTCAAGATCAGATGGCCAGCCAGAAAAGATCAGCAACAGAGATCTCTGGCAATGAGCGAACCAACCCAGCAGGAACCGATTGTGAAACAAATAGGCAGGAAGAAATGGAGGTGGATTGGAGGCCATACTCTGAGGAAACCATCAAGTGACCTCACTAGACAAGCCATTGCTCGAGTGGAACCCGAATGGGAAGCGACGAGTTGGTCGTCAGTGCAAGGGTGAGTTGGAGGAGGAGGTCATGTGAAGAAGAGATGAAAACGTGTGGGCAGACTTGGAGCCAGGTGAAGACTCTAGCAGAGAACCGGACGCAATGGAGAGGTGTGGTTGAGGCCCTATGTTCCTCTAGGAACTAAAAGAAACAATAATAATTTATACTCGGCAACATCATAACAGGCTCTCTCCCTAAAGTAGAACAAAACAGCCACCCAGTACTCCTTGGTCTTCTAGCTGACGTCAGTTTGTGACCAAAATTGAATCTCATGTAGTAGTTAGTGTGTATCAAGGAGCTGATACCATGACTGGGAAAGAAGGAGAGAGGGGACTACTGAAAAGCCAAAGAGTAGTGAATGTTGCTTAGTCTCTTAAATTGAAATAAAAATACACCCATGAACTCTGGACCACCCCACAGGCTGTGAAGTGAGCGTATTCACCGTTTGTTTATTTTAGTCAATGAGAGTGACCCCTGGAACTGCTGCGCTTCCGTGAGAAGATCTTTATTGAAACCAGTAAGTCAGTCGTTCTAGTTTGATAGTCTTCACAGCAGTGCAAACCTACGAAATTATAAAGAGTTCACCAACCCAAATACCTATATTTTGTGAGACCAGTCAGTTTTTGACAATCCGGCCACTGGCGCCGGAATTCAGCGACCCATGAGTAGTATATCATGACCACTAACCAAGTGCTATTAATGATTAGCATTCAGATCACATCTGACGTGGTGGATCTCATTGGCAACGACTTCTCACTGGAATATTAGAATCCTATATTTTTTTAGGGTGCGTCAGTGGCACAGCGGTAGAATGCTCGGCCAACCACGCCTGATGTGGTTCGCGGTTCGATCGTCGGCCATCGACGCAGTCCTTTACCTCGCTAAGCCAGTAATAAAGCTGGTAAAGAGGAAAGATTAGGGGGGGCATGGGACTGGTTAGCAACCCCATCCTGTAAAAATAATCACCACTGCTACAGAAACTTCAAGCTGACTCTAGCTTGAAGCCACCCTATGTTCCACTAGGAACGTGAAGGAATGAAAGAAGTTTTTTTTTGGGGGGGGGTTGTATCAGTGGCTCACCCCGGCGTCAACCACGCTACTGATTCGAATCTGATTCCCCGTCGATGTGCTTTTAAACCTCACCCAATTCGCTGATGGATATTTTATTTTTATTTTTTTATATTTTGATTTACAGCTTGATTCCACACCGTATTTTCAGTACAAGTATGGAATTTTCAGCATGGATATCGGTAGCCCAAATTTCGCAGGCCGACCATAGATATCGGGTGTGCGCCGGCAGGGGATCGAACCCCGGACCATGTGCATGGTCGGCGAGAGTCCTAGCCACTGTGCCACCGACGTACAGATAGAGAGAGGAGGGGAAGTAACAGAATGCAACGACAGAAAGGATAATTATAGGACAAAGAATGAGGAGGAAGAGGTGGAGGATAGGATGGAGGGGGGAGAAGAACTTACCCAATTCCAAGAGAATGTAACCAATGCATACAATCGGCAATAATTACATTGTATTCATTAGCTGAAACTATGGGAGTAGTAGTAGTAGTAGTAGTAGTATCACCGCTATCATCGCGGTTTCGATTTGACATCATACTTGTCCTCCTGTAGAAATAATCTAGTCGACTTAAACTTGTAAACAGTAACGGCAAGTGTAGACTATTTTGAATACACATAGAAATCAATAAATCTGAATGGATTAAACTTGATTTATTTTGGATAAAATAGTTGTGTGAATAGATTTCATAGATACTCCAAAATCGATCTTTGGATAAAATTTCATTTGGAGCTGTAAAAGAAAAGAAAAAAAAGAAATGAAAAACGAAAAGTTTGAGAGACAAAAAAAAGATGATTAGGAGGTGACTCTGATCGATTCTAACGACTCAGAGATTGATTTTGTTACCAGAAAAGTCTTATTGATTTATGGCCAATACGAGTTGAAGACATGAAAAGGTTGACTGTTTTTGATCATAGATGTTTACGATCTCTTTCTCACGTTAGGTGGCATAATAAGGTAAGCAATGTTGACGTCAGGCGTAGAGTGTTGGGTAAAGAGGGAAAATCAATCGACGAGGCTATAAAGTTACATAGATTGAGATGGCTAGGTCACGTGCTGAGCATGCCTAACCATCGCCTCCCCCAACGGACGGGCATTACTAGCTGATATAGGTGCAGGTTGGAAAAGAGTAAGTGGTGGCCAAACAAAAACATCGCATCAATCAATCCATGAAATCCCTGACAGTTAAACTGAGTCAGGTAGGGAGATGAAGACTTCCGGGTTGGGGCCCGCCCTCGGGACTCTAAGAATCAATGGCTGGAGACAATAGGTGACATGGCTCAAAATCGTTGTCAATGGCTAGCGCAGATGTATTCAGTCTCTGTAACCTTCCATATTCCTTTCTACCATTACTCATTCTGTTTCACTCTTATACTTGTCAAAACTCTATTGATTCTCTTCACTCATCTTCTTGTCTACCTTTGTGTGCTATTCGGAACGTGGTGACTCGAATTGCTGCACTTTGGTGCCAAGTTCTATGTTGAATCCAGACAGACAGAGAAGGTTCACCAAAGCGATGAACCTGACATGGGACTTCTCCATGGCTTTATTTTTTAATCATGTAGACTCACAGTGACAACAACCCAGAATCATGCTGAATTTCTTCAATTTGACATTCAACGCACTGGGTGGTGAGGGTAGCATTACACAATATTCATGCCCAGTAGTTCTACAGAAACATGTTTAATAAAGCAATCTACGAGCAGGCTGATCATATACCCTCCATAGTAGTGAGGAGGGTGTTAATGAGAATTTCTTCAAGTAATGGGGAAAGACAATGACGTAACGCCTTATCACAAAATAAATTTTATTCCTGATCCGTGCTAGTTCTGACTGAGTTAGCCATCACGAGTAACATAGATCAAGTCTACGCATGTTACTAGCCGTATATGACACTAACAGCTGAAACTGCTCACGACCGATCACCGTCAGAGTCCAGTAACTTCACAACGATGCATACCGAAGCACACGAAGAAGCAAAGACACCAGTCCCCAACGGGATAGACACGTGTCTGACCTCGGCCCCTAGAGTTAATTACTTCTCCCGAAGATGACTTTCCTTACCCCATTATTGTCCAATAACCAGAGGCTATTCGTCTTGGAGACCATCTGCCGAGGAGGCGGGTACAGCCAGCCAGAAAAAGTATACTGACTGACTGGGATTTTCAAGAGCCGACAATCGCGTTCTGGACCGTACCACCACCACCATCACCACAAGAAGGATGGTGCTTTACGCAGCTCACACAAAAGACCTGTTCTGAGGAATTGCATTCATGCGTGAATTGGAGACTCCTCAACAGTACGCATGCACGCATGACATCACCGCTAGGGATCAAAGCAAAGACGTTTAGGTAATGTTTGAGTGTAAACAGGCGAAAATTAAGACGATACAATAACAACAACACCAAAAATAACAGAGAAGAAAGGATCAATGTGACTTACCATTATCAATAACAGACCAAATACTAGCATTCAACAATTGTGCAAAACGACTTGTTGTCTCTTGATCTATAGGTGAATTCATTGACAAGATACAATGAATAAAGGGTCTAGACAAACGCGCATTCATTGAATGTGGCATAACACTACAGTCAAGTGATTCTGACTCACGATGACGACGACACAGTGATGCTCCCGCTGCTGCTGCTGCTGACAAATTATTTCCAAGGACACCCATCATTCGTGTGTTTACATTCAAGTTATTCAACAACCAGAAGATGATAGCATTGACAAAGAGATCTGGTGTTGTTGTTGTTGTTGTACAGACAAGATCCTTTTTATTCACGGCTACTGTTGACACCTTGGAGAGAAATTCCACTCGTGAACTTGACCGATTCACCAGGCTCATCACTTCATTACACAATTCAGTAATCTTTTTAAATTCTTGTGAAGTTGACTGTTCTATATGATTGAAAGAAAAATAGAACACATGAAAAGACACATGGACAGATATGAAAATAAAAACCTAATCCCCCCCCCCAAAAAAACACAATGGATGATGACATAATCGTCAATGAAACAACGTCAGTCAGAGGATTACTGGAAACCAGGGAGTACTGGATACCATGACCCCAATGTTAGAGATCAAACCCATGTAACTTCAGTCCAGCACTCACTTGATTGTTGAGAATTCAGTGACCTGTGGATTTAAACTTATGCCAACTTGTGATGCTTAGCGCTACTACCAACCAAATGACATCGATGAGCAGCCAATTCACCTTGATGACACAGTGGACTCCATTGATTAAAACTTCAAGATATCCTCTAGTAGTGTTAATATATATGTAAAACTTGGGCACTGTGGTTTGTTTACTAGATATATAAGAAAAGAAGGCGTTCAGCGAAGAGACTCTTTTCGGCGAATTCATTCACTGATCTGTACAATCGCATTTATATACAATTTTGTTTGTGTGTGTACATTAGATGTATAAAGTTTAGATAATTATGTAATGTAAGTATTATTTGGCTTGGAAACAAACGTTAAGATGGAAAATAAAATAGAATTGATTAAGTGAGTAGAATTCACGAATGAGTAGAATTCAGATTAGGTCAGGTTGGAAACAGTGTTAATGAGTGGTGTTTAAAATCAAACAAGGGTGGGGGTAGAGAATAATACTGTTGAAAGTTAAGTAAGTTAATCGGATGACGTAACTCAGTTGACTAGAAATTGGACGTGGGTCAAGTTAGTAACATTGTTAATGAGGGTAGAGATTACAAAAGGGTGGGGTAGAGAATAATATAAGTGAAGATGTGAAATAATAAAATGCAAGAGACAAAATAATACAATTAGTAAGACTGAAATTAAGAAAGATTACGTCCATTGTAGATTTAATGAATGAACGAATTTCTTTTGTATGCAAAGTTCAGGATTTAGCAGATGAATTGCCATTGCTTCTGCGATGTGGAGAAGTTTGATCCGTACACTTTTAGCAAGATTGCCTTGTATTCTGTAGATAACTTTGAAGTTTATTTCTGGTGCAACTTGGTGTCCAGAGTCGATCAAATGTTCAAGGATCGAGCTGCGGGGGCATCGGTTTTCTCCTTTATAAAACCATGAAGGTAAATGTTCGTTGACGCGTTTGGATAGCGAACGCTGAGTACGGCCGATATACCTGGCTCCACACGAGCAGGTGAATTGGTAGATGCACATAGATGAGGCCAACAGCGATAGCTTATCCTTCACGAACATACGAATCATTGGTCTCGCGGAGAACGTCAGTCGTAATTCAGCTGCAACGAAGGTTTTCTTCAATGAGCGGGAGAGCCGATTTCTCAGTATTTCTGTAGATTGGTCTCCATTGAACTGTAGGTTCATATAGAGAAGTCTTTTTGGAGCACTGGGTGTGGACGGCTTCTCTGGTCTGGGTTTCATTGATTTTGTGATAAATCTTTCTGGATAGCCATTTTCAAGGAGGATTTTCTTAAGAGTGTTCATTTCATCTTCTATGGCGTCCAGGCTGCAAATTCTACGTATTCTGTGGCTTAGTGAACGGATTAAGTTTCGTTTAGTATATAGAGGTACCCAACTGTGGAAGTTAGTGAGCTGTCCGTTCCACGTTGGCTTTCTGTAGATGGATCTTTTTAATGTCCCGTCTTGTTGGCATCTCGTCTGTTGAACGTCAAGAAAAGATATCTTTGAGTTAGACTCTTTCTCTAGTGTGAACTGAATCGCAGGGTGGCAGTTGTTGAAGAACTTCAGGATATCTTCTAAATTCTCTTCGTTGTTGCAGATGATGAAGGTGTCGTCAACGTATCTCTTGTAGAGTTCAAAGTTGTCAATCATATTCTTTACGCAAGTGTTTTCGAGTTTTGACATAAAGAAATCCGCAAGCAGAGGGCCTAGTGGTGAGCCCATAGCTATACCATCCTTTTGACGATATATTTCATTGTTAAAGGAGAACTGGACGTTTAGGGTGCATCTCAGCAGGAGTTCTTTTAGATAGTCGGTGGGTATGCCGACGTTTACTCCTTCTGAGTGGATGAGCTCGCATATGCGACAAATTGTTTCAGTTAGTGGAACATTTGTAAAGAATGAGACAGCATCTAGTGAGATCATCGTTTGATTAGAAACATTGACGTTTTCGACGCAGTTGACGAATTCAAGTGAATCTCGCACTGAATCTCGTGGTAGTAAGTAATTCTTTATGAGTTTGTTTATTACATGTATCACACAGTCAGTGAAACAGTATTATTATTTACTGGATGACACAGTTTCGAACAAAATTTGTTATTGTTCATAATCATTCCATCAATTATAATCACACACGACTTCGAAACTTCCGTTTTATAGTTTTCTTTGATCTCTCCTATTTGTCGTCATTGGGGTAGTAGAATTTTCCAGATATCTGGGTGGACAGGTGTTGAATCATTCCTATTACACGTATCCAGTCTCAATTGATTCGATAAACAAAGCTTCTGTTATCAATCTCTCCCTCCACCATGTTAGTTGTATTAGATTTTGAAACTATCATCTTATCCCATCCATCCTATTGTATGGTTGTGTGTAATTGCATGTAGTGAGTGCTATAGCTGAACTATTCTCTAGATTTCTTATCTTACTTGGGTCAACTAATCCAGATTTTGCTGCTAGGTTTTTATGCTCGGCTAGTCTGACTGCACCTGTTCTACTACTCTGACCTGACAATCAATCCAGAAGGGTATTAGATAAACTAAATTGTTTCGTTTTAAAGGCTCTACAGGGTCCCTTAACCGACAAAGCTTGTTTCTAATTGAGTTAAAGGATCTTGTAGAGCCTTTAAAACAAAACAATTTAGTTTATCTAATACACTGTCTGCAATGACTGTCAGGTCAAATATATAGGTGAAATTACTAGAACAGGTGCAATCAGACTAGCCGAGCATAAAAACCTAGCAGCAAAATCTGGATTAGTTGACCCAAGTAAGATAAGAAATCTAGAGAATAGTTCAGCTATAGCACTCACTACATGCAATTACACACAACCATACAATAGGATGGATGGGATAAGATGATAGTTTCAAAATCTAATACAACTAACATGGTGGAGGGAGAGATTGATAACAGAAGCTTTGTTTATCGAATCAATTGAGACTGGATACGTGTAATAGGAATGATTCAACACCTGTCCACCCAGATATCTGGAAAATTCTACTACCCCAATGACGACAAATAGGAGAGATCAAAGAAAACTATAAAACGGAAGTTTCGAAGTCGTGTGTGATTATAATTGATGGAATGATTATGAACAATAACAAATTTTGTTCGAAACTGTGTCATCCAGTAAATAATAATACTGTTTCACTGACTGTGTGATACATGTAATAAACAAACTAATATGGAATCCTCTAGCAGTGGTCTAGGTGGTTGAATGGGCGATATGAGCTTTGAATTTCAGTTCGATTAATTCTTATTAGGCTGCAATGTTTCATCTCTGTTGATATGTCAGCTCTTAGTGTGTAAGGAAGCTTCGATGATGCATTAAGAAGATTATTATCGTGATACTCGCTTGGGATAGTGGCAGTGGTGGAGTTACAAATGGTTTCGTTTTACTTGGGATTCATCAACTGTGGGTGTGTCTGCCTCCCCCCCCCCCCCCAATGAGTGGTGGCTAGTGCATAACGCCATGACATTTGAGACGATCCATGCAAATTTTAAGTCTCAATGGGGATAACATCAGTCATTGGGAATACATGCTGCATGCAGCTAACGAGTATCCGAAGGGAAAAAACGAAACGCATCTTCTGGACTCCACAACCAGCCACTATTAAACAAATAACACAGTAAAATGGTCTTATTTTAATGCTTATGTAAACTATTTTTCTGAGTACACGATAAAAGTGAATTCATATGCAATACCTGAGAAGTTAAATACACATCACAGAAATAGCTGATGAAGCCAAAGCATTAGACGACAGTATGATGGATACTAAGTCGAATAGTTTCAGTAATTAAGGAATTACACTTAGTAAAAGGAAAAATTGTGAGACTCCCTCCATTATTATTATTATTATTATTATTATTATTATTATTATTAGTTTCCTTTAGTTCCTAGAAGAATATAGGGTTTCAGTTGCACGTCTCCATCCATTGCGTTCGGTTCTCCACCAACGTTTTCACCTAGCTCCACGTCTGCCCATATGCTTTCATCTCCTCTTCGTATGACCTCCTCCACTCCATGTCACCCTCTCACTGACCACCAACTCACCGCTTCCCATTCGGGTTCAACCCAACCGATGGCCTGGCGTGTGATGTCATTTAGTGGTTTGTTTTCTCAGAGTATGGCCAATCCACTTTCATTTCTTCCCGCATATTTGTTGCACAATTGGTTCCTGGTTGTTTCGCTCCCTGACTAGCCATCTGTTCTTGAGTAGTAATAAGCGAAGATAACTGTTGATGAAAGTCTGTAGTTTGTTCGAAGTGCACTTAGTGACGCTGCACTAAGTCTCTGATCCGTATAGTGAGTAGCACTGAATTCACATTGGAGTTGAAAACCCGGATCTTATTTTCACTTTCACGCTCAGTGCTGTTGGTCTCCTCCACACAGACTTGAGAGTAGTGAAAGCTTGTCTTGCTTTCCCGATCCTCGCTTTGATGATATCCTCATCAGTTCCACCCGCCTATAGTTGAAACGATGCTTCGCAGGTAGGTAGGTAGGTAGGTAGAGGAGTTTGCTTCTTGACGTGATATCCCGCTGGCTGTTGACCGACGGGCGTTTCTACTACTCAGCAGTCCGGTCCGTCCTCCTTTATGGCTGTGACATGTGGCCATTGAGAGTGGAACACATGGAAAGGCCAGCTAGCTGTCATTGATCATAGGTGCCTGCGTTCTATCTCCCAGGTGAAGTGGTTTAACAAGCTGAGAAATATTGAGGTAAGGCATCTGTCGAGTGCTAGGTAAGGAGGGGAAATCAATCTATGAGGCGGTTGTGAATTTACATCGACTGAGATGGTTAGGACATGTGTTACACATGCATCCCTAGTCATCGCCTTCCTAGACTGATGGGCAATGTTAGGCGACATAGGGTCAAGTTGGAAAAGAGCTAGCCAGTGGTGGTCAAACCAAAACATGGCTTCATCAGTCAATGAAATCTACAACAATTAGTTTAAGCCAGGCACGTATGGAGGGAGGTGTAGACTTCCTGACTGGTTGGGGTCCTCGAGACGGTAAAAAACCAATGAAGGCTGGAGACAATCAGTGATATGGCTCAAAGTAATCGGTCTCAATGGCTGGCGGAGATGCATCCACTCCTTGTGACTTATAATTTCCAATAAAACTATACTGTTCTTCAATATTACTATTCCTTTGTCTCATGTGCCTGTCTACTATCTTTATTTTGCGTTTCTTCTACTTTCTTCCCTTGCTTTGTGTGCTACAAGGAGACAGTGTGGCGACTTGAACTGCTGTAAGTCTGTGCAGAGTTCTATGTTGAAAATAGACAGAGAGACAGAAGTAACACAATGTAACACAATGAATTGAAGTCTAATCCACAAGCCAATGTGGAGTAGCGTTCTCCCTTGGATTCCGGTAATCAAAACCATGTTTAAACGAACATGTCCTCTACCAGTCTGATTGTAATTAAGTAAGCGCCAGACCTTCGCATTCCCCGTTTCACATTTGTGGAGAATTACTCCCGCCATGTGAAAACAGTGACACAGGAGGTGTGTAACCCCAGATGAGACAGAGAGAGAGAGCAAGAGTGTTTTGTGAGGAAGACTGAAGTCTACCACCACTCGCCTACCTCGGCCTTTAACAGGTAGTTTAAGACGGCCGGCGGCGCACCAGGTAGGTAGGTAAGTGAGTTCTAAACAACCCAGTTTATTTGTTGTAGTAGTGCCGCTCGCCGACCATGCACATGGTCCGAGGTTCGATCCCCGGCCACTGGACGCACTCCTTTACCTCGCTAAGCCAGAAATAATGCTGGTAAAGAGGAACGGTTGGGCGTGAGGCTAGCAACCCCATCCTGTAAAAATTAATCACTGCTACAGAAACTTTAAGCCACTAGCTTGAGGCCCTATGTTCCACTGAGAACGTGAAGGAAAAAAAGTACCAGCAGCATTGCGAGTGAGATAAGATTTATTACACAAAACAAAAGACACAATTACAAGAAGAGAAAAAACAGCAACAACAACAACAACACCTCAACTCTTACCCCAACCAGTATGACCTGTGACAGCTTCCAATTCAGACAGTAAATTGCATACACGTAACCAAGTTAAAATCTTTACGCACTGAGAAGTAACGCTACGCTTATTATCACTATTGATATTCATATTCATATTATCATCGCCTGTAGATAATGATGATAAACGGTCTCTAATTGTACTGATAGGATTTCTATGGCTTGTTAAACTGCCAGGCAGCATTGATGACATTCTGCTCCACAGGACAGATAGCATCGATGAGCTGGACTCTGATTTCATCGACGACAATGATGATGATGAGGAAGGCGATTGGTGATCATATTTTTTCATAAATAAACTTGCAAAATCATCAGTTACAAATAATCGATCCAATGCACTATTCAACGATTGTTTGTTGCCGTCTTCACATAATACAGCATAGCCTAGAAGACTTGTTATTTTACGTAGATAAGCTAAGCGTTTACAATAGTGTAGATCGATAATTGCTGGTGTAGTTGACCGATGACTGGTTGCATGTAGATTAGAAAGACTTGGGTAAAGTCCAGTTGTTGACGATGATTTATTCGTTGGCATTGACGAATTCTGTGAGAAAATGGACAATTCTGATGACGATGATGATTTGGATATCATACCACCAGCAGCGGCCAATAGACTATGGTGAGAAGAGAATATACACAAACGAAGATCAGTAAACAATATAATGATAATTATTATTTTATATTGCATGGAGGATTTCATCATGAGCTGACATCAGTTAGAGAACCACTGGAAAACCACCTGGGAGTACTGAACAGCTGTTTCGTCCTAGTTTTGGACTCTTCATCAGTACGCACCCACCGGGATTCGAACCCAGGACCTTCTGGTTACAAGGCTAGCGAGCTCGTAGACCATTGAGCCACTGGGAACCGATCCAATGGTCCTTGAATTCTAACTTCTGCCAATTCACGACATAGCGCGACCATTTCGCAATGTCTTCTTAGATGAGTTACTGCCTCATCTTCGACCTGCTGTACCCTACTGGTCACGGCTTCCCACTAGAACCCCAGGTCTACGAGCTCGCCTTGTAACCAGAAGGTCCTGGGTTCGAATCCCGGTGGGCGCGTACCGTGAAGAGTCCAAAACTAGGATGAAACAGCTGTCCAGTACTCCCTGCTCAGGTTTTCCAATGGTTCTCTAACCCATGTCAGTTCATGATGAAATCCTGTAACCATTTGACATTTGTTTTGTGAAGTAATGGCGGTGAATTGTCTGCAGTCAGTCTGCAGCACCCTAATGGAAATACATTCCATATCAATGACCTGACCGACATTTGTGTTAGAAATCCAGACCTTCTGTCTTATGGTAAACTGTGGCAACCTCTATTCTGAAATTGGAGTAATTAACACCTGTTTTGGTTATTTTGATTCGACCTGCCTTTCACATTCTTGTGTGTCTTATCATATACTTTTTCTGTCTTTGCTTGTAAATATCACCTAAAGGGGCAGTGTTGAGCGGATTGTATTTAGTCATTCTTGGTTAACACATTACGAACTTCTGCACAATGAAAACAAGGAAAGCCCACTCAGCAAAACTAAGTACAAGACATTATTTTGGTGTAAAGGATACATGTAAATAAGTTCTTAGGGGCTTGGTTAGTTTCAAGTATACCCATGCAATGACACTAGCTAGAGTACCACTGGAAACGAGGGAGTACTGGACAGCTGTTTTCTCCTAGTGTGCAACTCTATAGTGTGACTCTATAGCTAGGCGCCATATCTGTGACCTTCAGTTTATGAGGCGAGCTTGTCAACGAGTCAAACGGAATCCAATCACCAGCCAGAGAATAGCAACTTCCGTAATTTGACGATATATATATCAAATTTGACCACGGATTAGTTTCAGTTATAGAACCATTGAGAACCAGCACTGGAGTACTGAACAGCTGTTTCATCTTAGTTTGGGAATCATCGGCAATACGCACCAACCACAGGGGGTTCAAACCCAGGACCTTCAGGTTACAGGACAGCCACTGGGACCTGATCTAATGCAATTAATAGTGTTCTCTGAGGTGGTTGGTTTAGTTGCGGAGTTTTCGTCGTCCACCCTCTGGACAACATATTCAGCGCAATATTTAGCATAAAGTGAAATGATTTAAATTTATTCATGAGTGATAGAATTGCGTCTCCCGGTAACCATCTGTATTACATATGTATTGACCATTTTCTATTGACTTGGATTTGAAAGCTTCTTGTCACCTGATTTACTTTTTATTAGTTGGTGTATTTCGTCTATATTAACGTGTTTGTTAATCTCTGGCTGATTCACTTGAGTACCAGGCTTCTAGGAATTCCCTGGCACTTTTCGTGTTTCCTCTGTCTAAGATTTTGACATGATCCCAATCAAACTGATGACCATAATTGTCTATATGCATTGATACTAAAGAATACATATCGTGCCTTTTCACGGCTGATTTGTGTTCTTGGATTCTGATTCGAAGGGGACGCCCACTTTGGCCGATGTAATGCTTGTTACAGTTCATACAATATATTTTGTAGATGGTATTAATTTATCTCCTTTTTCTGTTGGATCTTTCGGTTTGCATAATATCGAATTAAGCGATTTGACTGGTTTGTGTGCTATTACTATATCAAACGGTTTCAGTATTCTAGCTGTTATTTCAGAGATATTTCTCATGTATGGTAGAATGAATTTTCTTGTAGTCTTTGATGATGGTTTCTTGTTGGCGTTGTGATTCGATTTTAAACACTTTTTGATGAAATTTTGTGGATAGCCATTCTTTTTGAAGACCGTTTGTAGGTACTTTTCATCCATTCTTTTCAACTCTGGAGTGCTACAGTGTGTGTTTGAACTCTCTTTTAAACAATGTCTGCACACAGTTTCGTTTGTGAGTAACTGGATTATTGTTAGTATAGTTGAGTATTTGATCTGTGTGCGTTGATTTTCTATATACCTGTGTTTCTAAATCTCCTGTGTTGGTTCTCCTGCTTAAGACATCTAAAAATGGGATTTTGTTGTTATCTAATTCTTCTTCTCTTGTAGTGAATTTGATGTCTTCAAATATGTTGTTTATTAATTTATGGGTATATGGGTATGAATATAGACGAAATATACCAACTAATAAAAAGTAAATCAGGTGACCAGAAAGTTTAAAATCCAAGTCAATAGAAAGTGGTCAATACATATGTAAAGATGGTTACCGGGAGACGGACTCAATTCTATCACTCATGAAGAAATTTAAATCATTTCATTTTATGCTAAATATTGCGTTGAAGAGGGATGTTGTCCAGAGGGTGGACGACGAAAGCTCCGCAACTAAACCAACCAGCTCAGAGAACACTATTAATTGCAAATCATATACATATATATATGTAAGAGTACAAATGCAACCAGATAAAACTTACCCAAATAAACGTCCTTCCATAGTTGTAGGCGGCATTAGAACACAATGTACAGGGAAATATTGTTCAGTTAGATAAGATAAAATATATAAATAACATGTATCACTAACTATTGATAAATCTAATGAACTGAGAATGCTTTCCATGATAGTTTTCAATTGAATTTTTATCTATAGAGAGGAGAAAAAAAAGAGGAAAAGAACAATAAAAGAGGAAGGTTACAGGATTTTTGTTCATGAGCTAACATTGGTTAGAGAGTACTGGACACCTAGTTTCGTCCTGGCTGTGAGCCATATTTATTGTGTGATAGTTAGTGGCTGTTGATGCTACCCAGTGTGCTGCTCAGGTTGACCGGGATTCGAACCCGTGACCCATTCCCTGAAAATCAGGCTTATATTAACGTGTTAAATACGTTACAATGATGTTAGACTACTAATAACATACCCACTCAGTCCATGCACGATATTAGCAAATTTTCTTTCAAGTATGACTGTGGCAGTAGATAGCAGTTAGGGGGTCATTGAAAAAACCAAGGAGTATTGGACAGCTGTTTCGTCAGCCTAGTTCGGGACTCATCTTCACTCACTCACTCACTCACTCACTCACTCACTCACTCACTCACTCACTCACTCACTCACTCACTCACTCACTCACTCACTCACTCACTCACTCACTCACTCACTCACTCACTCACTCACTCACTCACTCACTCACTCACTCACTCACTCACTCACTCACTCACTCACTCACTCACTCACTCACTCACTCACTCACTCACTCACTCACTCACTCACTCACTCACTCACTCACTCACTCACTCACTCACTCACTCACTCACTCACTCACTCACTCACTCACTCACTCACTCACTCACTCACTCACTCACTCACTCACTCACTCACTCACTCACTCACTCACTCACTCACTCACTCACTCACTCACTCACTCACTCACTCACTCACTCACTCACTCACTCACTCACTCACTCACTCACTCACTCACTCACTCACTCACTCACTCACTCACTCACTCACTCACTCACTCACTCACTCACTCACTCACTCACTCACTCACTCACTCACTCACTCACTCACTCACTCACTCACTCACTCACTCACTCACTCACTCACTCACTCACTCACTCACTCACTCACTCACTCACTCACTCACTCACTCACTCACTCACTCACTCACTCACTCACTCACTCACTCACTCACTCACTCACTCACTCACTCACTCACTCACTCACTCACTCACTCACTCACTCACTCACTCACTCACTCACTCACTCACTCACTCACTCACTCACTCACTCACTCACTCACTCACTCACTCACTCACTCACTCACTCACTCACTCACTCACTCACTCACTCACTCACTCACTCACTCACTCACTCACTCACTCACTCACTCACTCACTCACTCACTCACTCACTCACTCACTCACTCACTCACTCACTCACTCACTCACTCACTCACTCACTCACTCACTCACTCACTCACTCACTCACTCACTCACTCACTCACTCACTCACTCACTCACTCACTCACTCACTCACTCACTCACTCACTCACTCACTCACTCACTCACTCACTCACTCACTCACTCACTCACTCACTCACTCACTCACTCACTCACTCACTCACTCACTCACTCACTCACTCACTCACTCACTCACTCACTCACTCACTCACTCACTCACTCACTCACTCACTCACTCACTCACTCACTCACTCACTCACTCACTCACTCACTCACTCACTCACTCACTCACTCACTCACTCACTCACTCACTCACTCACTCACTCACTCACTCACTCACTCACTCACTCACTCACTCACTCACTCACTCACTCACTCACTCACTCACTCACTCACTCACTCACTCACTCACTCACTCACTCACTCACTCACTCACTCACTCACTCACTCACTCACTCACTCACTCACTCACTCACTCACTCACTCACTCACTCACTCACTCACTCACTCACTCACTCACTCACTCACTCACTCACTCACTCACTCACTCACTCACTCACTCACTCACTCACTCACTCACTCACTCACTCACTCACTCACTCACTCACTCACTCACTCACTCACTCACTCACTCACTCACTCACTCACTCACTCACTCACTCACTCACTCACTCACTCACTCACTCACTCACTCACTCACTCACTCACTCACTCACTCACTCACTCACTCACTCACTCACTCACTCACTCACTCACTCACTCACTCACTCACTCACTCACTCACTCACTCACTCACTCACTCACTCACTCACTCACTCACTCACTCACTCACTCACTCACTCACTCACTCACTCACTCACTCACTCACTCACTCACTCACTCACTCACTCACTCACTCACTCACTCACTCACTCACTCACTCACTCACTCACTCACTCACTCACTCACTCACTCACTCACTCACTCACTCACTCACTCACTCACTCACTCACTCACTCACTCACTCACTCACTCACTCACTCACTCACTCACTCACTCACTCACTCACTCACTCACTCACTCACTCACTCACTCACTCACTCACTCACTCACTCACTCACTCACTCACTCACTCACTCACTCACTCACTCACTCACTCACTCACTCACTCACTCACTCACTCACTCACTCACTCACTCACTCACTCACTGGGGCTCGAACGCAAGACTTTCTGGTTTCAAGGCGAGCTAGCTCGTAGACAATTCGTCAGCCACTGGGACCCAATCAAATGGCCCAAGAATTCTAACTTCTGCCAATTCACAAAATAGCGCGACTGACACTAGCCAATGTCTTCGGCGAGTATTTGTCCTCACACCCGACCACCTGCTGTACCCTAATGGTCACGACTTCCCACTAGAACCCCAGGCAACTACTACTGAGCTGAATAGAGCCAGTCGCTAGTGAGCTTCAGATTAATTTTCAAGTATTGGTTTTGTAGGGATTTTGTTTGATTGGATGGAGGATTTCATCATGAGCTGACATCAGTTAGTGCGTACTGATGAAGAGTCCCAAGCTACGCCGACAAAACAGATGTCAGCAACATGAGAGATAAGCAGTCTAAACTGGTCACCGACACAGTTCCAAAGAAGACCTTATTCATGAACTTGGAATTCAAAGGTGATCAGGCTTCAGGTATGCTCAAAAATCGTCTCTCTAAATCAGTCAGTAAGACGTTCTATGCAGCAAAATTACATATGACGTTCACTGGCCTCAAGTTGTTTTCTACCTCTGTAAAAGATAAGCTCCTCCGTCTGGCCGCCTCCATGTGCATCTATCAGTTCACCTGCTCTTATGGAGCAAGGTACATTGGCCGTAGTCAGAGAACGCTTTCCACACGGATACGAGAACATATCCCAGCAACATGGTTTTATAAGGGAGAAAGGAAGTGTGTGAGAAGCTCTATTCTAGAACACCTGATCGACTTCTGTCACTCTGTCAACCCTAACCATGATTTTAAGATCATATATAGAATCCATGCTAACTTCCCGCGTTGTCTTCGTTACAGACTTCTAAAGACAGCTGAGGCCTTGGCAATTCATAACTTTAAGCCAAACAGACCTTTGTGTACAAAGGAAGTATGTACAATGCATACTTCTGCCTTGACCGTAGAGGGATAGACATTTATTTATTTATTTTGTTTATTTAGTTATTCTATGTACTTTTCCCTTATTACTACGGTTATTATTAATATTATTATTATGATTACTATTCTCACTCTGAGCCGCATCATCGTGGAGAGAATCAAACATGCCCTGGATGAAAAACTTCGACTGGTACAGGCTGGATTCAGGAGAAACAAGTCATCCATTGATCGAATCGCCACATTACGGATCATCATTGAACAAAGCCTAGAATGGCAGTCACCTCTCTATCTCAACTTCATCGACTTTGAAAAGAACTTCAACAGCGCGGCGTCGATCGGTAGGTGATTTGGAAACTACTTCGCTACTAAGGGTTGCCACCGACAATTATACATCCCATCTAAAAGTTGTACGACAATGCTGCATGCCAAGTAATCCACAACGGGAAACTCACGGAATTCTTCGAAGTAAGGACAGGAGTAAGACAAGGCTGCCTACTATCGCCAATGATTTTCCTGATTGCAGTAGACTGGATAATGCGACAGACAGACAGCCGGCCGGGCAACGAGGAAACAGGCATAAGATGGACTCACACAAAAAACTTGGAGGATCTGGACTTCACCGATGAGATATTTGTCTGATTTCCCACAAACTGGAAGATATGCAAGTGATGAAAAGCAACAAGTTGGCACAAGAAGCATCAAAGATAGGACTTCCTTCAGGTGAACATAGAGAAGACAGAGGTGGTGAAGATTCCCGGGCAACACCACCAACAGTAACAACAACAACAGACAACAATCAGCATAAATGGAAGGAACCTGAAAGAAAAGACCTCCTTTACCTACCTACATGGGAAGCATCGTTTCAACTACAGCCGAACGGAACTGACGAGGATATCAAAGCAAGAATCGGAAAAGCAAGACAAGCTTTCATTATTCTCAAGTCTGCGTGGAGGTCAACAACACTCAGCATCAAAAATAAGATCCGGATTTTCAACTCCAATGTGAAGTCAGTGCTACTCACTATACAGATCAGAGACTTGCACTGCGCGTCATAAAGAGCATCTCAGACAAACTACAGACATTCATCAACAGTTGTCTTCGCTTAATCCTACTCAGGAACAGATGGCGGCCAGAAAATATCAGCAACAGAGATCTCTGGCAATGAGCGAACCAACCCAGTAGGAACCGATTGTGAAACAAATAGGCAGGAAGAAATGGAGGTGGATTGGCCATACTCTGAGAAAGCAAACCATCAAGTGACATCACTAGACAAGCCATTGCTCGAGTGGAACACGGCCGAAAGGGAATCGGCGAGTTGGTCATCAGTACAAGGGTGACATGGAGGAGGAGGTCATGTGAAGAAGAGATGAAAACGTGTGGGCAGACTTGGAGCCAGGTGGACTCTAGCAGAGAACCGAACGCAATGGAGACGCACAGCTGAAGCTGTATGTTCCTCTAGGAATTAAAGGAAACAATAATAATAATAATAAAGTTCCATATATATAAACTTACACATTTACTACAACTTGTCTGTAAACCTGAAGTAATCAGCACCAGTAGAAATGTCAACGAATTCACATAGGCCTTATCCATTTTAATCATTGATTTTTCAATTTGATGCAGTAGTGCATTATTGATGGTAGTAGTAGTCATGCTTAACCAATTACGTAACTCTGGTACTTCACTAGATTGTACTGTACTTTGATCCACCAACCAATATTGAACAGTATGAAGTAGACGAACCATGAAATTGGAAGCTAATCTTTTCATGTATTTATCATTGACAAAATGATCACAGTTTAATAACACCTGAGTGTATGTGTTTGTTTGTGTGTGTGTGCGTGGGTGTTTGTGTGAATATTGGTTGAGAAGGAAAAAGACAAGAATAAAATAAGCATGAGTTCAATTTAAACATCTCGAACGCAATCTAATAAAGTGCTTGGTCCTCCACAGAGCAAGAGAGATTTGCTCGGATGAATGTATTGACGAGGAACTTAACAATATCAAACGGTTGCTAAGTGAGAATGGTTATCCTGAAAAGTTTATTGATAAGAATATGATGAATCTGAAACCAAAGCAGCCCAAGTTACCAACAGTTCCAAAAGAGGCCTTATTCTTACAGATGCAGTTCCTAGGAGACAACACAATTGAAGTACTAACACATCGCCTCAGAAATGCGGTAAAGCGAAGAGCATTCCCTGCTGCTGAATTACGCTGTATCTTTAAAACCACTCCTCTTCTGCGTTCGGGAATAAAAGACAAGCTGCCTAATTTCGCCTCTTACATGTGTATATACCAATTTAACTGCTCCTGTGGAGCCAGTTACATAGGTCGTACAATTAGGCGTGTTTCTCGTCGAATTTCCGAACATCACCCTGCATAATGGTTAAGCAAAGGACAAACAAAATCTATTCGCAGCGCTATTCTGTCTCATCTTGTGCATACAGAACACAAGATTGACGTTAAGCATGCTTTCAGGGTCATTTACCGCATACCTACGAATCTCAATTTCGCTTTAAGAGTTCGACTTCTAAATATTGCTGAGGCTGTGGGGATTCATATTAATAAGCCTAATTTATGCACCCAAAAGAAGTTAGTTCAGTCATTATCATGACCTTGGCCATCTGGGTTTGAATAATCCAGAATTTTTGTGGAATTTCCCTAATATTAGTTCATATTCTATTCGCTATTATATCTTTATTATTATTATTATTATAATTTAAGCATCTTTAATGAACTGTAATTCCATGATCACACTTTACAAATCTATATTATTTAAAAAAAAATCAATATTGTTATTGACTACTATTCTAGAATATTCTATGCATATAAACATGTGCATGTATAATTGTAGAGCCAGAAGAGGAGGAATTTATCGAAAAGAATATTCTTTGCTCGATTATTTTGTATTTTATAGATCTCATAATTTGTCAAATCATCATTATTTTCATGCCAGATTAGAAAGGCGGAGAAGAAGAAAAAGAAGGGGACTGATGATTTAGACCCCCTTGGTAAGCCCAAAATCAAAAGCGTGCGTCAGAGATGGGATTTAAAAAACCCACACCCACTCACGCGGTAGATCAGGACAATCAGAAGATTGCTATTGATTTTGGCACCATAGATTATCCAGTAGGCGATCAATGTTAGCTGACATAAGATTCGATTGGAAAAGAGCTGGTGGTGGTGGTCAGAGCGAAACATGGAGTCAGTCTGTGTACAGTTAGTTTGACAGTTAGTTTGAGGTGTAGGCTGCCTAGTTGAGAACATCGGAATCTGAATCCAAGAACACAAATCAGCTGTAAAAAGACGTGATATATGATCTTTCGTATCAACGCGGGAACCTCGGAAACCTTACGGCGGAGAATTCTTAACAATACTGGCAGGAATAAAAGTGGCTGGCATTCACCCCCCCCCCACAAACTCAATTAGAAAGAAGCTTTGTCAGTTAAAGGATCAATCCTGTGGAGCCTTTAAGACAAAACAATTTAGTTTATCTAACACCCTGCTGGAGTGATTGTCAGGTCAAATACATAGGTCAAAGTAGTAGAACAGGTGCAGTCAGACTAGCTGAACATTAAAACTTAGCAAAATCTAGATTGGTTGACCCGAATAAAATAAGAAATCTAGAGAACAGTTCAGCTATAGCACTACATGCAGTCACACACAACCACACAATAGGATGGGATAGGATGACAGTTTTAAAATCTAATGCAACTAACATGGTGGAGGGAGAGATTGATAACAGAAACTTTGCTAACCGAATCAACTGAGAGTGAATACGTGTAATAGGAATGACTCAACACCTATCCACCCAGATATCTGGAGAATTCTACTACCCCAACGACGACATCGAAATCGTCTGATTATAATTGATGAAATGATTATGAACAATAAATAAATTGTGTTCGAAACTGTGTCATCCAGTAAATAATAATACTGTTTCACTGACTGTGTTATACATCTAATAAACAAACTAATATGGAATTACTTACTACCACAGTGCCCAAGTTTTACACATATATTAATTTGAATTCCAAGTCAATAAAAAAGTGATCAATATAGATGTAAATGGAATACCAGTCACGAAGATGGTTACCAGGAGATACAATTACATCATCCACTGAGAATTTATATGAGTTCATCTCATACTTAAACCTGAGTTGAAGATGTTGTCTAGCGGTGGCGGCGACGGGGGGCGGTAGGATGACGAAAGCTTCGCAATTAAACCAATCAGTTCAGAGAACACAACTAATGCTAAGAACGATTGACTGAAAACTATTGGAGATATTGGTCAAAACTGTTCCCAGTGGTGCAGACGCATTCACGCTCTGTGACCTCCTCAAATCAACTAAACCGTCATGTTTTTTTATTCTTTTAGTGGACGGAATTCGAAAACCAATCCAGAGACAGCAACGGATATGCTCACACCGTTATTGCAAAATGTTTGGAAAGAAGGAGAGCCACCTCGGGATTGCAAGAAAAGCTACCAAAGAAGAGTGACTTAACCCTCTTCATATCATATCCCTATCCACGCCAAGCAAAATATTAGGACGTGTGTAATCAATCATTGGAGGGACTAAACGATGCACTGGATATACAGAACTCCGTCTGGAACAGACTGAACTCAAGAGAAGCAAAACATGTGCAAGCAAACGAACACCTAGGGCTAGATGCATGAAAGTATATCCTATTACAGTTCTACAGAAGGTCAATCATAAACCCAAATATAACAAGTGGTGTAACGTCTTCTTTGACAGCAGAACTGGGTGATTTGGGTTCAAATCTCACAAGGGACATGAGTACCTTCATGATTGCAGATACACGCCTTGCTAATTGGCGAGTGCCGAGAAGCCTAGGTCAAAGACTTCTTGATGACACCCTCTAACAATCTGACAATTTAAATAAAGCAAGAACAACAGTGGTTTGTGCAGTATTGGAATTGCACATCCATGGTACACATAAGGAGTAGGCGTTTGAATTCCGACTCTGCGAGTGGGAGAAGATCAGACTACTGACAAATGATCTCAATAGTTTCGTTGATTGGAATCATTGTGAACAAGGAGGTTATGTCAAATGACACCATGAACTGATTTAAAGCGTTCATGTGGTTCACACTTTCCGAGAAATGGAATGAGTCCTTCATAGTGTGCATGCCTAGCCGTTGACGAATAGGTTCCAACTTCTCCGCAAACCAACGTGCCACCTTATGTTGGGACGAGTTGATCATCGAAAGTATGGGTCTCAGGGGGACTTGTTTTTTGTGTATCTTCGGAAAGTCACACATGTGTGGCAAGCGGGACCCTCGGGGTTTCAAATCATTGTACGTATTGTTGTCAATCATTTTCTTCTTTAGAAGATCTCTCAGTGCGTTTGTGATAAGTTTTTCGACTGCATCAGTCTTATCTTTCTGGCAATTGTCAACTTTGAACCTCAACGGGTCATTTAACACGGCTTTCATCTTTGCAATGTAGTCCTCTTTATTCATCAGTACTACTCCTGAGCCTTTGTCAGGTCGCAATATAACAATTCTCTCATCATTCCTGAGAGCTTTCAATGCTCTTTGATGCTCATCAGAAAGGACTTTGGAATATAACATTGAAGAAATGAGGTATTGATTTGCAACGTCGACGAGCTTAGATTTAAACCAGCTCTTCTTGTCCTCATCAACTGGGGGGGGGGTAAGGTCATTCAGCTGATAGAAAAGGTTTTCGAATTTGAGCTGCGACATCGGTTCTCTTTTGACAAAGTTATTCGGGATATGGAAGTTAAATCCGAGGGAAAGCGCTTCCATTTCAATGCGGCTTAAATTCTCAGACTCGACAGATTATACACAAACTCCTCAGGATTTTCTGGGAAGACGTCATATATATATTTTCTCCTTCGTCAGGGATTTCGAAAGAGTTTTATAAAAAAAATTCGCACATGTTTTCTGTTGAAGCACAAACCACCACTGTTGTTCTTGCTTTATTTAAATTCATCAAGGGGAATAAATGCATGAAGAAATCTGACAATTAATTGTTAGAGTAGAATAGAGGAAACAGCCTCCAAAGCCTCAGGATGGTCGGGGGTGGGTGCCTTGCGCTGCGGGTTGGCCACCCCCCCCCCGCACACCTCTTGAAATGCTCCCATATGACCGGGTGTCTTACATAGCCTCTCCTGAGGAAGTTCTACTCACTGCCTTCACGTGGCGGAGGTGTTTTTCACCAAAGTGAGAGGGCGAAAGCGGATGCCCGGCGCTCTTCACCGGGTTGACTGTCCATTGGATGACAGTTTAGGGGAGATGGCTCAACAACCCTGATTCCAAACCTCCAACGACTGGCGTATGAAGCTCACTGGAGCTCACCGGCAGACGTATGGACAAAGGGCTTGTTGGATGTCTGGCCCCATTCAAAAAGGCGTATAAACCGAACTCCGGTCACCGGCTGCCAATGGATAGTGGACTCCCTACTCCACTCCTACTGCCTTGTAGGTCACAATTGGTTGTGTAAAGGCTAGAGCTGCACTCTTAAACAAAAGCCCGAGCGATTCTGGGGAAATCACTCATACCAAATTCCCATGAAACTTCATAAACTCTCTTACAAACGATTCGAGATGTTCATGAAGCCGGCTCATCCTCGCGTAGGAGATAGCTGCAGTAAAGTAAAGTAAAAGTAATAGAGGAAACACATACAGGAAAAGTATAAAATACAAACAGATGCACAGAAGAAGAAAAAGAAGAGATTCAACCAACCATAATCATTGCATCTAAACACTCCAGATTTGGTCTCCAGACAATATTATGCATAGATATTAGGGTGGATAAAGACCATTTCAATGTTGAATCGCCATCTCCATCCTCCTCCTTCTCCTCGTTGTTGTGGTCATCTTGATCGTCTTCTTTGGCTCCTTGTACCACTCCTGAAGTGATTTCTTCCCTATCATCATCAGTGGGTTTATTCATGAATGCTGAATAGACAATGAGTGGCAGACATATTTGAGTAGTATGAACTTGTGTGTTATTATGAGATGGGATTGTAGAAATTGAGGCAGTTTTAAGGCTATACGGAAAATTGTTTAACACGAAGGTTTTTGAAGTGAACCAGATTAGAAATAAGTTGATCAGTTGATTTGACCAGTGCAGGTTATTTTCACTTGGACAAGCTATAAACAGATAAATTTGAAGAACAAAAAAATCACAGTTAGAAAAAAGCCAATCTACTTTGAGCTTGATTATAAAGGTGAAGAAAACAATGCAGCGATGATCAACAGAAGGCTGAGCACATCACTAGTCAGACACAGCCTATCCTGCAGCTAAGCACGTTCCCGTCTATCGAACAACTTGCTCTTCTCTGGTGCAATCAAAAATCGATAGATATCCTTCTCATGTTAACTCCAACTGTGTGTATACAAATTTACATGTATCTGTGGGAGCAGTTACATTGGAAGAACAGAATGAAGAAGGGCATATCTACGATTTTCTGAACATGTACCAAAAAGCTTATGTCTAAAGGGAACAAATGCTTTAAACAGTGCCATCGCCAGGCATCTCCTTCATACGGGTCGGTCATGAGGTGGACGTCGAAAAGTCGTTCAAAATTATCAATAAGCAAAAGAGCTCAATTCTTCTTAAGTTTGCTGAAGCCATTTCCATCAAGCGCCTAAAACCTGATTTGTGCGTTCAGAAAGAAGCAATTATCAGTCTTTCCTTGCCTACCCTGGTAACTGGATATTTTCACCTCTCTTTCATCTGATTATGTAATATCGAAAGTTTCCATTGTGTATGATTATTATTGTTCGGAATAGTGTTTAATAGTGCATATATATGTGTATGTATTATTAGTGTATGCATATATTGATCGATTGGTTTTTGTTTAAAATGAACTCTGTGCAAGTATGTTAAATTGTTTCTGTAGATACATTTAATAATGTCTTTGGCCTGTAAGCAGCTGGCGAGAAGGCAACGAAATAAAAGATGGTACCATTTTATTCTGCTAAAACCGTAGTTGTTGAAATTTATTAAGGGGAATAAATGTATGAAAAATAAAATAAAAGGGGATTTTGTTTTGAAGTTTGACAACGGACTGATATCAGTTGGGAAGTCATTGAAATCCACCGAGGAGTACTGGACAGCTGTTTCATCAGCCTAGTTTGGAACTCATCTGGGCTTCGAACCAAGGATCTTCCAGTCACAAGGTAGACACTCGTAGACCCTCCCCATCCACTGGGACCCGATTCAAGTGGTCCTGAATTGGAACTCCAGTGAGTGCGTACTGCAGATGAGTCTCAGACTAGGACGAAACAGCTGTCCAGTACTCCTTGGTTTTTCCAATAATCCTCTAATTGCTATCAATCCAACAGTCGTAGTTGAAAAAAATTCAAATTTGACGGCACACTTTACAGACAAGTGGACGGGGTGGCGATGGGCTCCCCATTGGGTCCCATTTTGGCTGATTTCTTTCTAAGTAAGCTAGAAAATGGACCTTTGAACAACCTTATCAGGAAATTCTCATTTAATTGCCAGTATATGGATGACACCTTCATTCTTTGTGATAATGATTCGGATAGGAGTACAATAATAACTGAATTCAATGAAGTACATTCGGCTATGAAATTCACATGCGAAGAGGAATCCCAAAACAGAATTAACTGCCTTCCTGGATGTCCTCCTTACAAGAAAACCAGATGGTAGCATAAAAAGAAATTTGCATAGAAAAAGTACATGGACAGGACAATATACACACATTTTCACAGCTTCGTTCCTCTCAAGTACAAAAGAAATTTAGTAAAGACCCTCAGCCACAGAGTTAGAGCTATATGCTCAGAAGAAGTAATTGAAGATGAATTAAGCATTGTATATGATACTTTGATTGAAAATAGCTATCCCGACAAATTTATCAAGAAACACATGACAAAGAAAGCGGAAAAGGACTACTCACTATCCGTAAACAAGAAGCCTCTTTATATACGACTGCAATTCAAGGGCGATATACCAAGTGAAATAATTACGAAGAAATTAAGAAAATCAGTTCAAAGAACTTTTAATGCTGGCGAACTACACGTCTTATTCTCTACACGACCGATGGTGATTCCTCGACTGAAAGATGAAGTACCTAGACTAGCCATTTCAAATTGTATCTACCAATTCAACTGCGCTTGTGGTGGAGCGAGTTATATCGGCCGTTGCTCTAGGAACTTGATTTTTCGTGCTCTCTTGGGAACATCTCCCAGTATGGCTAAGTAAAGGTGTAGTGAAAACCATCAACAGTTCGATATTAGACCATCTGGTCCAAACCGGCCACAAAGCCAGCCAGCCAGCATTGAAGAATCCTTCTCTATCATCTACCGGGTGCCAAATAAATTGCCGAAAGCATCCACGTACCAACCTCATGCTCCAAACAGCAGAGGCTATTGCAATTCGCCTCAAACAACCAGTGCTCTGTGTTCAAAAGAAGCAAGTCCAGCCAGCCACTACTACTGCCCTGGCTGGCCTTCAGTAGAGACTATAAATTCATGAATTGTTGTATTATTATCTTTCCTAATTTTTCTGATATTCAGGTGTATTGTTATGTTGATGCTACTGAACTGTAATCTATTGATATTATTATTATTGATTCGATGTTATTTAAACAACGACATTAATGCTGTTCATAACACGAATTCATTCATTCATTCACTATAATGTATATATAACTGTAGAACCTGATGATGAAGGGGTTATCGAAAAGAGTATTCTTTGTTCAGTATCCATTCTTTTGGAAAAGAAATTTGCTAATATCGTGCATGTACTGAGTGGGTATGTTATTAGTCTAACATCATTCTCACATATTTAACAAGTTAAAGGACTTGATTCTCAGGGAATGGGTCACGGGTTCGAGTCCCGGTCAGCCTACTTCCGCCTGGGTAAGTGGATAGTATTAGCAGCCACCAGTACACAATTAATACAGCACATAGCCAGGTACATAAGGAATCTGTTCTGGGGGGTGAGGCGTGGGGAATGACTTCTAACATACTACTGAGGTGACACTGAATCTTACTTCATCCATTCTAGGATGGATAATTAATTCGACATAGAACTACTCGAAGGTATATCGACTCCTTATGCATAAAATCCACCCACTCATTCGCATACAAATCAACTGAATTCAACTCAAAACTTAAAAGAATGCGAAGATAATAAACAAATGAAAATCTAGGACGCTGTAGGATTCAAACTAAGTAGTGACCTTCCAATAGCTAATTCAACGCTCTTCCAGTTAAGCTATGTTACTACTACCACTACTACCAATAAACACATGAGTAAAATTCTCAATTATCTGGATAAAATTGATATTCCTTTGGGTTCCAAGTGTGGAGAAAGGGGGTTGCAACAGCATATCTCCTCTTTGTCCTGTTATTCGCAGTCCTCACGATTGCCCATAGGCTATTAATCTCTTCTATGTCACCCTCGGATCTACACCTAACTCGTCGTTTCCCATTGGAGCTCCACTTGAGGGCCTAACTGGCGCCCACTGTCACTCAACGGTCTCCTCTTCAGTGTATGTCCAATACATACATCCCCATTACTTCCTTCATATTTGTTAGGCAATAGGTACCTAGTTGGTTGGTTGCCAGAGTTTCTCACTGTTATTACATTCTGGTCATATGATCTTCAGTATGAAGTGAGGACGACTGTCGATGAAAGTGTGACTCTTGTCCGAAGTCTCCAAATCATATAGAAGAAGCACTCATAATGACTTGACATCAGTGTTGAACATCGGAATCAAGTTCTTGATGTTCAGTGCAGCAGATTTCCACAGTGATTTCAGCGTAATTAAGGTCTGTCAAGCCTCCCAGATCCTGAGTGGATTTAAGGAGTGGATGCATCTGCGCTAGTCATTGACAACGATGAGTTTGAGCCCTATCACCGATAGTCTCCAGCAATTGGTGTTTACCGTTCCGAGGAGCCCAACCAGTCAGGAAGTCTATACTTTCCTACGTGGCTCAAATCAACTATTAGAGACTTCATGGGCTGGTGTCATTTTTTGGTTTGACCACCACTGGCTAGCTCTTTTCCAGCCTGACCCTATGTCTGCTAACATTGTCCATCAGTCGAGGAAGGCGATGGCTCTGGATGCGTCACACATGTCCTAACCATCTCTCTCAATCAATGTAACCTCACAACCACCTTGTTGATTGATTTCCCCTCCTCACCTCGTACTCGACACCTAACCTCAGTATTGCTTACCCTACTATACCACCTAACACGGGAGATAGAACGCTGGCACCTATGGTCAAAGACAGCTAGCCGCCCTTTTCATATTTTCCACTCTCAATGGCCATGTATCACTCACAGTCATAAAGGAGAATGGAGCGGACTGCTGCGCTGAGCAGTACACACGCCCTTTATTTGACAGCCAGACGGATATCACGTCTACTATGCCAGAGACGGTGTAAACTGGCATATGCGAAACTAGCCTTCTGTATCCGTGCAGAGATTTCATCAGCGATCAACCCGTTGGCACTGGCTGATGCAACTTCCCAAATAAGTGAAGTAGTCAACACGCTCCACCAACCACTTCACTCCCTATTTCTAAGCTAGGAGTGAGTGAGTGTAGTCCAGTCCAGTCCTGTAGCATCATCTTACATTTGACAGAGGGAGCGAATCGCATGCCAAACATTATCAGATTGCAGCTCAAGGTGTTCTTCTTCATGTTCACTTGAAGCGCACGAAATACTGTCAGTAAACGATTGTTATTATTATTATTACGCTATTCGTTTCTTGTATTTCGGGTAGAACACAGGTTTTCAGTAGCATGTATTCAGCGGACTCAGAGTTATCTGAGATAATTTTCAAATAGCTTCACAACTGTCCACAAGCTTTGGGATTGCGTCAGATGGGAATCGGGCTCCTGACCACGTGTGTCGTTGGTGAGGATTTTACCGCTGAACCACCGAAGCATATTTATATATATAAATGTATATGTATCTGGGTAGTTGTGTGAGTGCTGGCGGAGGGGTGACGGATGAGATTTCCAACCGTATTATGAAGGCTAGGGTGGCATACATCAACTTGAGCCACCTCTGGCGCCGTCGCGACGTTAGCCTGGCTGTCAAAGGTCGGGTATACAATGCTTCGGTGCGGGCTGTCTTGCCCTACGCCTGTGAAACCTGGCCTCTCCGAGCTGAGGATGTGAGGCGACTCTGCGTGTTCGATCATCGCTGTCTCCGCAGGACTGCTTGCGTTTGATGGCATCATCGCGTGAGTAATTCTGAGGTTCGGTGGCGTGTGTTTGAACACAGTGGAGATCACCATTCATTGAGTGTCGTCATCTGGAAACACCGGCTCCGGTGGCTTGGACATGTGCTGCGAATGTCATCCCAGAGGCTTCCGTACAGGTCTCTGTTCGCTAGCCCTGGGACGGGATGGAAAAGGCGGAGGAGTGGTCAGTCCATGACGTGGCGTCGTGGGATGAAGAATGTTTGTGCTAGATTAGCATCGGTTGGTGTGTCACGACTCCCTGGTTGGGGTCCGCGAGATAGCTCGAATCGATGGCTCGAAACGTTATCGGATATGGCCAAGAATCGTAATCAATGGCGAACGTGTTGCAATTTCCTTCTTTCTTCCCTTTCTGATGATAGTTAACGAATACTGTTTGAACTTGTTAAGTATGACTGTTTCCCTTCCAGATGAAGTTCTTTATCTGTTCTCTACTTATATTTTTACTTTTAATTTATGTTGTTTTATTATTATTATTGTGTGGCGCATCTTTCTTGGTGCCATATTGTACCAAGTTTTTCTGCGTTTAAATAATAATAATAATATGTATACATCTTCTATAGATACACTTACCTTTGATAGCAGAGTTGAGACAATCTGAAAATGCGTCTAAGCAACACTTTACATATACAATAAACGATGCTGAAGGCATAGACGACGAGATTTGTGGTGGCGATGACGCTGCTGCTGCTGATGATGATGACGAACTTGTATGGAATTTTCTATCATATTGTAAAATGATACATTTATGTAAAATTTGACCAAATACTTGTTCTAGCATATCCATAATCATTGACCGACCTAGAACAATAAAGACGAACATAAACACGTACAGGTTAGTTGTTCTGTAAAATATGTGAATTAATTCAAATTAATACCAGTTTTCATCTGTCTAGCTTACAAAGGCAAAGAAGTATCCATAAGAATGGAAAACAGAATTATGGGTGTATTGAAAAGAATATTTCCTGCCACCTGACGCATTCCACTTGACAAAACCGTATACTCGTTAACTCAGGCAAAAGTAGACAAGTATCCTGCTCCGCATGTCAACTTCAACTGCATTTACCAATTCACCCGTATTTGTGACAGCAAGTACATAGGAAGGACTGCAGAAGCCCACGCAATATGCATCGAGAAGCCGGAGCTGTGTGTTCAAAAGAAATTAGTCCAACCTCTACAACTACCATGGACCTTGTTCGGTATGTTACCTTAGCTTCTGTTTTTTTCTTCTTTTTTCGTTCTCCTTTTTATTTCTGATCCTTTTTCGTTCGCTATGTGTGTGATTCTTACTCCCTCAGTCTTCATTCGATTCACACCATTTTTTCCAGTTATAAAAAGAGTTATTTTAAGTTTGTTTCCATGCTTTTCCTGTTCACATTTATAATTCGTTTTAAAAATTAACAATTATATCTTAATCCTGTGCAATTTTTGTGTTTCTAAGGCTCTTGTAATCTATATTCGCACCTCCTAACTTCCATCTCAAGTTGAAAATTATTATTTCAATTTTGTTTCCATGCTCATTTTTACACACTTGTCATCCGATCTAATCCTGTGTGTATTTTTGTTTCTAAGCCTCTCGTAAAAACCATATCTAGTTGAAAATAATTATCACCTTTTATTCGCCGTCGTAATTATGTAGAATCAAACGAGAATTGTATCCATGTAAAATTATGTATTTAAATGCGATTGTACAGCTTTTGAAAATGAAATCACCGAAAAGATATCTTTGCTGAACTTCGCGTTCTCTTCTTTCTAATGAGAAAAGCGTCTACTAGATTCTTCAAGCATATCACTAGAAGTTTCCGTTTGAAAGGCAGCAAAGTGTTCTCAAGCGCAATTGCCAGACACCTCCCTAATTGACACGGGACATACAGTGGGAATTAGTGAGGCTTTCGGAATAACCAATAAACAAAGAAAAACATGGTTACTTCGGTTCGCTGAAGTCATTGCCATCAACAGACTTCGACCCAACCTATGCGAACAGAAAGATAGCATGATTAATCTTTCACTATCCTGGTAACCGTAATTGTTTTGTTCTGTTGCATATATAACATTCCACTCAATTTTGATTTTCGCTTACGCAGCTGAAATTAGCATTTAGTTTCCAAATATACTACATCGTTTTGTCTATCTTGTAATTCTGTTTCACCCCCACCCTCCTGGACTCTCCATCATAACAAGTACAAATTCACTCTGTTGTTCTATCTTCTACATTGTCTTTAGTTCATTCTTATTTCCAGGCGAAATCCAAACTCTACCTTCGTCTTGTCTAACTATAGTATAAATAGTTGGTCTTTTAACACTAAATAATTGTTCACTTATATCATTTTTGAAATTATGTTGCCTAGACTTTCTATCTATAACTCGAAGTCAGCGTAAAAGGTATGTTCAGACACTATTTTGTAACTTATAATTGATTTTGTTTACGTTGTAGGCAGTTGTAAGGAGAAAAATCCAGGAAATACAGAGAGTTCGTATTATCCTGCAAATATGTTCATTCTTTCTTCATTCAAATTAATACTATTTACAGATTTCCAACTGTAGATTTGCAGGTTTTGGTTTATTGATATAAGTATAAAACTTGGGCACTGTGCTGGTAGAGTATAACTCCATTATGGATAAGATTTTATTTTGATAAATCACACAGTGTAGTGTTATACAGTAATATTAACTGATTAACACACCTCGAGCACAATTCATTACTGTTCATAATCATATCAAGTCACTCACTCATACAACTTTTTACTTCATTTATATACATTAGTGGAATTGATGATTAGATATTTGATTGAATAAAAATCAATATAAGATGATCATGTACATTCAGAAATAATAATATGAGTGTTATGAATCAATTACAATTAGATAGGAAATATGACGAGTGTTTTTATAGTCACAATAAGTAACTTGTTAGAATGTTATGATGTACTTGAATTGAATTGAAATAGAATTTTAAGATTATTTATTATCCTCTTCTGATTTGACTGACTTGTGGTAATAATATCTTCCATGCATATCTCTGGTATTCGCATTGAGTCATTTCTGTTGTATGTGTTGTGTTGGGAGTGTAGACTCGATGAAGCAGGCAGAATTCAGTAATCAATCTTTCTCTCTATTTCCATCTACCTATATTGCGTTTTAGAATTCTGACTCTGTCCCATCCACCCCACTGTGTTAGTGTGCATTAATGCATGCGTGCAGTGCAATTGCTGAGTTTTTTTTCCAAATTACTTATCTTCACGGGTGGGGTTAACCATTCAAACCTTAGTTAAATTCTTATGTTCTGATAATCTCACTACTCCTGATCTAATTAATTTGACCTATGTAGTTGACCTCACTCACAGTTATTGGAAGGTATTTTTCAAATTATATTATTTTGCTCAATTGGATCCACCGGGTGGGACAGAGTTAAAATTCTAAAAAGTAATATAGGTAGATGGAGATGGAGAGCGAGAGAAATTGATTACTGAATCCTGGTTCATCGAGTCAACACTCCCAACACAACACATGCAATAGTAGTGACTCAGCGCAAATACCAGAGATATGGAAGATATTATTACCACCAGTCAGTCAGTCAAATCAGAGGAGGATAATAAATAATCTCAAATTGAATTCTATTTCAATTCAATTCACGTACATCACAACATTCTAACAAGTTACTCATTTATTTTGACTATAAAACCACTCGTCTTATTTCCCATCTGGTTGTATTTATTCGCTAACATTAATATTATTATTGCCGAATGTGGTCATCAATTAATATAACTGTGTAACAACACTGTGTGAATTTATCAAAATAAAATCTTATCCATAATGGAGGTTTGGGTTTGACTGATTTTAAGTTAGAGAGAGATTGAAAATCAAGGGACATTTGACGACTGTTTCGTCCTAGTTTAAAACCCCTCAATACTACAAACCTATGATCCCAACGGTGGGGATTACACTCAGGACGTTCAGGTTACAAGACGAACCGGTTGACTATTCCAGCCACTGGGAGGTAATCTAATGGCGAGTAAATTCTCATATCAGACAGTTTGTGATGGCGTAGCACTACCGCCAGACAATGTCATTAACGGGTACCTCTACCTGTCTCTTCACACTCAACTGACAACAGCTTCTTGACAAAACTCCAGGGGACTTCATCCTGTACTGGGCAAGTGTTTTGTTCTACTTTAGGATTCTCCAACTCACTAGTGACTAAAGGATGAATATATATCATGAACTAGAGAGAAAGTTAGGATTCAAGGGTTATTGTATTCTAATCCAGTAGTTGAATGACTGTCATGTTTACCTCGTCACCTCTGGCTGGCTGGATTCAACATAGAACTTGGCACCGAAGTGCAGCACTTCGAGTTGCCACGTTCCAAATAGCACACAAAGGTAGACAAGAAGATGAGTGATGAAGAGAATCAATAGAGTTTTGACAAGTAAAGGAGTGAAACAGAATGAGTAATGGCGGAAAGGAATATGAAAGATTACAGAGACTGAATACATCTGCGTAAACCATTGACAACGATTTTGAGCCATGTCACCTATTGTCTCCAGCCATTGACTCTTAGAGTCCCGAGGGCGAGCCCCAACCCGGAAGTCTGCATCTCCCTCCCTACCTGACTCAGTTTAACTGTCAAGGATTTCATGGATTGATTGATGCGATGTTTTTGTTTGGCCACCACTTACTCTTTTCCAACCCACAACACCTATATCAGCTAGTAATGCCCGTCCGTCGGGGGAGGCGATGGTTAGGCATGCGCAGCACGTGACCTAGCCATCTCAATCTATGTAACTTTATAGCCTCGTCGATTGATTTTCCCTCTTTGCCCAACCAACACTCTACGCCTAACGTCAACATTACTTACCTTATACTTTATACCACCTGTCGTGAGAAAGAGATAGTAGACATCTATGATCAAAAACAGTCAACCTTTTCATGTCTTCAACTCGTATTGGCCATGTTTCAGAGCCAAAGAGAAGGACAGAGCGAACTTCTGAGCAGTACACACGTCCCTTGGTTGATAGTCGAATGTTACGCCCACGCCAGAGATGGTGTAAGTTAGCGAAAGCAGCTCGAGCTTTTTGGATCCCCTTGTAACCTTTAGGTCCTGGATTCAGTCTCTGGTGGCGTCGTGGGTAGACTCCCGCCCAAACTAATGCGAGACAGATTCTTGGTGTTTTCTGGCTTTTAATCATATCGATTGGTGACGAAATATATTTTTTCATTGAACGTTTGCAATGTGATCACTATGCTAGATGGCTAACGATCATGGTGAGCTCCAGGTTACTTGTCTGACCTAGGTTTCGTGCTTATCGGCCACTCATCAGTCAACAAAGTGTATTTGTAGTCTCAAAGGAGCTCGTCTCCCTTCTGAGACTCGAACCCGAGTGAACCAGTGCTGCAGTCAGAGACGATGTTACTACTGAACCACTCAGGCTCATGTAGGACTGTAATGGATAGTTTCATTCGACAATAGATAGTGTAACCAACGTCGTAAGTTTAATCCTTGGTGTTGTTGGTGTGCAGACTGAGCTCCTTCAGTCAACTCATCAAAATCTTTAAAATTCCGATAATTCATAAATTTTTTATTAACAACGAACAACTTACCATTTTGTATAGACAAATGATTATTCAATATACAAGAGCCAATTTTTTCACATAAATGACATGCTAAAAGCGTTAAAACTCGTAGAATAACTTGTACAGTTTGTTGAGAATTATTTTGTAACATTAAAGAACATTCATCATCGCATAAATCAGCTTGTGAATCACGTACAACAGATGACGATGATGATGTTGAGGATGATGATTTAACAGACGACTTTCGTGCAGATGATGACAACTTTCGAGAGACTTGTGTTAAAAGTTGCGTTAACTACAAAATTAAAAGGGATATATATATATAGTTGTGAAAGGAGGTTAACACCAAGAACAACAACAATAATGCCATGAATTAACAGAGACAAGAATTCACATGCGCCGGTTATTGAGTCCTAACCCCGTGTAAGGAAGGAAGGAAGGAAGCCATCAAGTGACATCACTAGACAAGCCATCGCTCGAGTGGAACCCGAAAGGGAAGCGGCAAGTTGGTCGTCAGTGCAAGGGTGACATGGAGTGGAGGAGGTCATGTGAAGAGGAGATGAAAGCATGTGGGCAGACTTGGAGTCAGGTGAAAACTCCAGCAGAGAACCGAACGCATTGGAGACGAGCAGCTGAAGCCCTATATTCCTCTAGGAATTAAAGGAAACAATAGTAATAATAGTAACCCCGTGTAACTGAAAGATTGACGGACTCGCCTTGTAAACTCTGTAGGTCATTGGTTCAATTCCTATCGGTGGGGGTGGTGATGATGACGGTAGCGTACTGCTGGACATTCCTAAGAATGAGATGGAACATCTTTGCTGTACTGTCTCTGGTTCCCTAAATGACAAACGGTTCATGACCGAATTTGTAAACGTTTCGGAGAAAAATTACCAACCCAACTTGCCTCTCCTGACTGCAAAAGAATTGCAGACAAAACAGCCATATATGTGTGCATATATCAGTTCACCTGTTGCTGTGGAGCAAGCCAGGTGTACACATTGGTCGTTCGACATGTATCCTATCCAAAAGGATTCGAGAACGTTATCCCGCATGGCTGCAAAGAGGTAATTCAGTGGCTACATAAGGAGTGCAATAATCGAACCTCTCGTAAACACTCGTCATTCGATTATCTCAACAAACGCTTCCTTCAAATTATCATTATTATTATTGTTACCTTTAATTCCTAGAGGAACATAGGGCTTCAGCCGTGCGTCTCCATTGCGTTCGGTTCTCCGCTAGAGTCTTCACCTGACTACAAGTCTGCCCACATGCTTTCATTTCCTCTTCACATGACCTCCTCCTCCAAGTCACCCTTGCACTGACGACCAACTCGCTGCTTCCCCTTCGGGTTCCACTCGAGCAATGGCTTGTCTAGTGATGTCACTTGATGGTTTCCTCAGAGTATGACCAGCCAATCCATCTCCATTTCTTCCTGCCTATTTGTTTCACAATCGGTTCCTGCTGGGTTGGTTCGCTCATTGCCAGATATCTCTGTTGCTGATCTTTTCTAGGCCGGCCATCTGATCTTGAGTATTGAGCGAAGACAACTGTTAATGAATATCTGGAGTTTGTTTGAGATGCTCTTTATGACGCGCTGGCCAAGTCTCTGGTCCATACAGCAAGTAGCACTGACTTCACATTGGAGTTGAAAATCCGGATCTTATTTTTGATGGTGAGTAGTGGTGGAAGCTTGTCTGGCTTTTCCGATTCTTGCTTTGATATCCTCGTCAGTTCCATCTGCCTGTAGTTGAAACGATGCTTCCCAGGTCGGTAGGTGAAGGAGGTTGTTTCTTTCAGGGTCCTCCCATTTATGCTGATTGTTGTCTCTTGCTGTTGCCATTGGTGTTTCCCAGGAATCTTCATCACCTCTATTTTCTCTTTGTTCACCTGAAGTGAAGTCCTATCTTTGATGCTTCTTCTGCCAACTTGTTGCTTTTCACTTACATATCTTCCAGTTTGTGGGAAATCAGACATATATCATCGGCGAAGTCCAGATCCTCCAAGTTTTTTGTGTGGGTCCATTTTATGCCTGTTTGCTCGTTGCCCGGCTGTTTGTCTGTCTGTCGCATTACCCAATCTACTGCAATCAGGAAAGTTCGAAATGTTTTTCGTGACACGCCAAGGCTATGAACCACATAGAAGCATTGATTCATTGGCATTTATTTGTGTTGAAAATCCGAATCTTGTTCTGTATTCTGATTGCAGCAGATTACCATACACTGAATCCAGAGAAATGAATATCTCGTTGGCTTTGGCATCCTAACAGGCGGCACGTCTGTAGTTGAAACGATGCTGTCGATGGGAAGGGGAAGAGCAGTGACTTCGTTCAAATGTTTTCCGTTGACGGTAACTGGTGGCTAGACATCCTCATCATTCTCTGTCTTCTATAAGTTCGCCTGATGTCTTGTCTTCACTGCCTGTCTATTCTTTCAAATTGCTGGTTTTGCCTGTAGGTCTTCGAGTCTTCTTCTTGTCGGTCCAACGTATTTCTGTCTTCTAGATTCCCAAAGCCTGACGCATAATCCAATCTACTACAATGAGGAATATCATCGATGACAATAAACAGATTTGTCTTACTCCTGTCTTCACTTCAAACGGTACGCTCAATTTTCTGTTGTGGATCACCTCAAACATGCCATCATCATATAGCTGTCGACTAAGGTTGATAAAAATTTAGGGTACTCTGTTGTAATGTTGAGGCAGTTTCTAGATCACTTCTCGTTCAACGCTGTATAAGGTCTTTTCAAAGTCTATGAGGTAGCGATTCAATTGTCACTCTATGCCCAGTTCGACTATGATGCATAGAGTTGCAGTTTGAAAAGCGCACATGACTTGGCTTCTTCTGAATCTAGCTTGTTCCGGGTGGAGTTTCGCATCCAGTGCATCTTTCAGTCTTTTCAGGATGAGATTGTCAAGCCCCACGAAGTAAGTTGGCTAGTATATATATGTTACGCATACGTTAGACCCCCGTCCAACCGAGGCGATGGTCAACAGAAGTCGTATTTGGCGGTTCGACTAAAGTTAAGGGTGATTAGATCAAAACATAATATATTAATTAAATGAGGTCACATTATTTAAAAAAAAAAGAAAGCATAAATTGATTGGAAATGTAGCTCATTAGCTTAAGCAAACTAGACTTTTAGCCAATAGGTCTTAGGTTCGACTCCTCCTCCACCTACTTCAGACTTTGGTGCAGCTCGGGTAGTGTAACATCACTCCTCACACATACAATACATGTGCCTCGTAGCCCGCCCAGTGTACCAAGTATAACGGAATTCTAATCAACTAGTCAACCAACACATAAATTGAAAGAAAAAAAGCGACCAATTCTGGTGGAATCCAGGGTGGGCGTTTCGTCCTATTTGAGACTCATCAACCGGAAGAACTTGTATTCAGAAAAATCAAAAATGAATTGAAAACAAGTAGTAACTAACACGCATTGCACACGAGGTAGCTTTCATGGTGCCAAATGATCTAGTGGACAACGCGTTTACGTTTGGAACGATGAGTACATCAGCACCACTACTCACTGGAAGTGCAGGTACATCCATCTGGTGAGTCTCAAACCACCAGAATTACTTCAAGTTAGTCCTCAGACATCATTTCAACAGAGGTCGCACATTTCTGTCCAATCAATCAATCAGTCAATGAACGGGAAGGTCAACATTGAAATAAAAGGTACAAAAAAGAAAAAGAGACATTTAAATTTTCTTCGTATCTTACTTGTTCTGCTGACAGACTTGAACAGCCCGAATGATTGTCTACATCGGATGTTAGTAAATCTTGAAATAATATCCAGATATCGATACATTTACTATTACTAAGATCTAAACGACAGAGGGAGAGAGAGAGTGAAAGAGAATCAAGAGAAAGATATACAACACATACACACACACATAGAAAAATAAACATGCATTCTTACAGAGAGAAACAACTTCTCAAGTATTGATTTGTAAGGATTTTTTTATTGATTGATTATAGGATTTCATCATGAGCTGACATCAGTTAGGGAGAAATATTGGAAAAATACCACTAGAGAGAGTACTGGACAGTTAGGTGTTTCGTCAGCCTAGTTTGGGACTGACTCTTCAGCAGTAGGCATCCACCACTAGGGTTTGAACCCAGGACCTTCTGGTTACAAGGCCAGTGAGCTCGTAGACCATTGAGCCACTGGAAGGCGATCCAATGAATTCCAACTTCTGCTGGATTCCAATAAAGCAAGGATTAAATTTATTCGCGGGATCAAAAGAGCTCACTCTTTCTCTTATTTGACGGTTTTTCTACAGTGTTGTTAACAGCCTAGCAAAAGAAATTCTGTCTCGTGCTGTCAGCTTATATAGGGCGTTGACTAAATTCCTAGCGTAGGATAATCGAAGTAGAAGAAGCATGAATCATTTTTGCATGATGTGATCAGTAGTTGATGAAAAGTTTCCATCATTTAAATCATATGCTACAACAAATAGTGTTCATCATTACTCTTCCAGGCTTAAACCCCTTTCAATCTCTTTTACTGAAAATGAAAAAAAACACCAGATAAAGTAACCCCAAAACCAATCAACCAAATCCCTACAAACGAATACTTGAATTTCATAGATTATTATGAACTTATAAATCGTCAGGTGATTTATTAATTTATAAGTATAAAACTTGGGCACTGCGGTAGAGTGTAACTCCATTATTTTTATATTTTATATTTTCCGTGTTTCGCCAAATACCATATTCACAGTTGAAGTGACAATATGTCAACGTAACTCCATTATGGATAAGATTTTATTTTGATAAATCACACAGTCTTGTACAGTATTATTAACTGATGACGTTTCGAGCACAAATTATTGCCACTCATAATCATATCAAGTCATTCACTCACACAACTTTTTCCTTCATTTATATACACGTGTGGAATTGACTAGATGTTTGAATAAAAATCAATATGGGATAATGTACATTCAGGAATAACAGTGTCAGTGTTATCCATAAAATACAATCAGATGGGAGATAAGACGAGTGGTTTTATAGTCATAATAAGTAACTTGTTAGAATGTTGTGATGTGCTTGAAATGAAACAGAATACAATTTGAGATTATTTGTTATCCTCCTGTGATTTGACTGACTGGTGGTAATAATATCTTCCATGCATATCTCTGGTATTTGCATTGAGTCATTTCTGTTGAGTGTGGTGGGTGTAGATTCAACGAACCAGGATTCAGTAATCAGTCTCTCTCTCTCCACCTACACAGATTACTTCTTAGAATCTTAATCCTCTCCCACCCTATTGTGTGGGTGTGTGTTATTGCACGTAGTGCAATTGTTGAGCTTTTTTCTAAATTACTCATCTTCTCGGCGTCAACCAATCCTACCTCAGCTAAATTCTTGTGTTCCGACAATCTGATTACCCTCGATCTACTAGTTTGACCTATATAGTTGACCTCACAGTCATTGCAGGGTATTTTATTTAATTGGGTACACCGGGTCTTTAAGCCTACAGAGCTTGTCCCTGAGTGAGTTTGTAGGTTTGAATGCCACTCAAATTCCTGCTTTATTAAGAATCCTACGTAGGGTCTCAGATGTCCCCTCCTTATATGGTATTACAGTGGATGACTTATATTCTCTCTTATTTGTGTTTTCATTACTAGTTCCACAACTACTTTTATTTCGCTTTCGGCCTTTTCTGATCTTCCTAAGGAATTTTATAGGGTAGTTATTTAACACCAACGCCTCTTCTATCTGTTTTATTTCATCATTTAGGTCTTTTCTTGTGCTACTTAGTGCCATTGCTCGGTTTGTTAAACACTTAACTAAGCCTGCCTTAACAGTTAACGGATGAACTGAATTAAAGTCTGAATATCTATTAGAATGCGTTGGTTTTTTATAAACACTAGTGTGTAGTTTGCCTTCTTCTATTCGTTTTATTTTACAATCTAACATAGTAAATTTTCCTTGTTCATTTTCTGATTCAAATGTGAATTTTATTCCTTCTACTAGTGAGTTTATATGTGTCAAGAAACTAGAGATATGTTCTGTTTTTAACACTGTGAAAGTGTCATCCACATATTTCCACCATATTTTTGGAGTAGGGTTAAACGTATTAAGGGCCATATTTTCCCAGCTGTCCATAAAGAGGATAATAAATAATCTAAAAATTCTATTTCAATTCAAACAAATCACAACATTCTAACAAATTACTTATTATAACTATAAGAACATTTGTCTTGTTTCCTATCTGATTGTATTTGATTGATAACACTCATATTATTATTATTTCTGAATGTACATTATCCTATAATGATTGATTTTTATTCAATCAAATGTCAAATCATCAATTTCACTCATGTATATAAGTGAAGGAAAAAGTTGTGTGAGTGAGTGACTTGGTCTGATTATGAGTGGCAATAATTTGTTCTCGAAACATCATCAGTTGATATTACTGTGTAACACTGTGTGATTTATCAAAATAAAATCTTATCCATAATGGATTTATTAATTTTCATATAAAACATATTCACACTTTAAGCTGAATCACGAACCGACATCAGTCAGAGAATCATTGAAAACTAGGCAATACCGGACGGTACGGTTTTGTCCTAGTTTCGAACTCTTCATCAGTTAATACCCTTGACTCTGCCTGGTTAGCTGAGGAGGAGCATGTCAACCAAGCAGTTCACTGGTGCTTCACTTTAGGATGGAGTGAGGCATGCATCAGTGAAATCCACGAAGGCAGGAGTGAGGACACAGATACTAGGCTAATGATATTAGCTGGTAGAGACGCCATATATGCGTTGTGAAACAGCAGAAGTTTGAGGACATGCAACTCTGCAAACTAAGAGTTTAAAATAAATCTAATACTTACATTAGTGACTGACTACAAAACAGACTGCCTGTGGTTCTTAAGAAGACGTCAAAACCAGACGAGTACGAGGATAGATATTTGAAATTTATTAGCTAAAACATGGGATTACGTTCCAGTAGCTAAATGGCTTCGTAAACTAAAGGGTCATGGTTTCGATCCCTTGCAGTGGGATGGTGCGAGTGTGTACTTCTGGACAGCCAGTCCATAGAAAACAAACAAACTCGGACGAAACAGCTGTCTAGTATACACTCAGGTTTTCCAATGGTTCTTTCTCTAACTGATGTCACTTGATGATCTAGCTTTACATCGATTAAATCCCAGCAAATCAACACACGTTATATATATACATATATATATATATATATATATATATATATATATATATATATATATAGTCATTCCCACCTTCACAACCAAGCATCGCCAGAGAACCTCCCGGTCGACAGAATCGAATGCCGCCTTTAGGTCAAGAAATATAATGATTGTCGGACGCCGGTAGGAATGCCTATGTTCTAGAATCTGTCGAAGGGTGGAGATATGATCAATACACCCTCTTCCTGGCCTAAAACCTGCCTGGTTTTCTCGTGTTTGTGCCTCCCGAGCACCACTTAGTCTACGCAGTATTATTGAGCCTAGGATTTTAGATACTATATTAGTCAAGCTAATCCCCCTGTGATTATCACAGGAAGACTCGTCTCCCTTCTTGTATATTGGGATGATCAGTGACTTACACCAACCCGATGGGACTTCCTCTGATTCCCAGACGCTGCCTAGAACCTCCGTTAACGCAGACAGTAAACTGTTTCCATCGTACTTAAATACCTCTGGAGTCAATCCATCAGGTCCCGCTGCTTTGCCTTGTTTCAGATTAGTGACAGCTTTAGTAACCTCAGTTAAGGAGGAGGACCTGTGTCTATATCCCATTCAGGGAGATGTTGGATGTTTGGCAGGTTAAGTGTGACTGTAGGCCTATTAAACTGCTCCTCATAGTGTTCTTTCCAGCGCTCCAGACGTCTATCCTGGGAGCTAATTATGGTGCCATGTAGTATGGTATTGCACCCGGCATTCTCGTTACAGGCGTAATCATTAAAACAGGGGCATTTACATTGATACTATTGTTCAATAAAAAAACATGAATATAAAATTAAGTGAAAATATTTAAAACAACAATATAGCAATGAGAAGTCAAAATAGGGTCATTTACTTCGAGTTCCGCAGCAAGTTAGTTGGTAATTTCCTGCCCTATACTTTTCTCATCACATAAACTGCATGACTACCAAATAAGGTATTGAAGAGTGCCTGTACTTGATCATCCGAGCATACAGGTTTCTATAGTTAATTCTAGTTCTGGTTGGGGTCCTCGGGACGATAAACAGCAATGGCGGCAGGAGACAATCGGTGATATAACTCAAAGTGATCGTTCTCATTGTCTGGCGGAAATGCATCCACTCCTTGTGACTTATAATATCCAATGAAACTATACTGTTCCTCGTTATTACTACTCCTTTTGTCTCATATGTCTGTTTACTGTCTCTATTTTGCATTTCTTCTACTTTCTTCGCCTGCTTTGTGTGCTACAAGTGTGGTGAGAGCTGTCTACTAGCCAAATTGGTTGACAGTAATTGAGGTCAAAGGTCAAGGTGGACAGGCGTTTACAGTTAACATATAGATGAACTGACACAGCCACAAGAGATGCAAGGTTAACCTTGTGTGATAAACAACCAATCAACAGACTGTATTTTCTACTAACATTGACCTACAATAATGTACATAAAAATCTATAAATACGTGTTGATTTTTCGTAATAAACGATCTGTTGCCTGGCCCTTGTCTTCTGTTGTTACATTTGGTGTCGCTGCCTACCGACAAATGGAAAGCCTATGCCCTGCAGTTTTTGATGAAGACATATGGATCTTCGGGCAGGACTTTGAGGCTTCTTCGCAGTTGAATGGCGTTCAAGATCTGTCAGCGATGAGGCTGCTACTTGGGACGCTGCTGGGAAGTCGGGAGAAAGCAGCATATGAAAGTGTGAGGCGAAATACCTACGAATGTGCGACAGGGTCAGGCAAACAGTTTCCAAAGTGGGAAGGACCACATATGGTCACGTTGAGATGGGGTTACGCAGACACAATCGCAATGGTAAACACCGCTAAACAAGTGGACATCCGCAAGCGCCGAGATTCCAGACAGCAAGACAACAGAGCAAAGTCCCAAGAACCGAGAAGACCGAGCCGACTTCAGTCCAAACTATTTGACGGGGGGACGAGTGTGGTGAGAGCTGTCTACTAGCCAAATTGGTTGACAGTAATTGAGGTCAAAGGTCAAGGTGGACAGGCGGTTACAGTTAACATATAGATGAACTGACACAGCCACAAGAGATGCAAGGTTAACCTTGTGTGATAAACAACCAATCAACAGACTGTATTTTCTACTAACATTGACCTACAATAATGTACATAAAAATCTATAAATACGTGTTGATTTTTCGTAATAAACGATCTGTTGCCTGGCCCTTGTCTTCTGTTGTTACACAAGGAGGGAGTGTAGCGACTTGAACTGGTGCACATCGGTGCAAAGTCCTTTCTCGAAAACAGACAGACACAGTTCTACCCTGCCTGATGAGATGCAAGGCTGGGTGAGTTGTGTATAGAGAGGATGTTCAGTGTCTGACAAGATAATATTTGTTAATTTCTTGTAGGAGTCCATGTGTCTATCTGCAACAGTGTTAATGAGTTGGTATAGCAACAACCCACTCGCCCTACACTCGGCGTTTATAGTGCTCTTTGCAGTATAACAAAGTCTTTCTTGGGTAGCCCAAAAAAGATTAGGCGGCGGGGGGGGGGTGGAAATATAAAGGAATAGGTAGAATACAACAATTACCAGATTTACGGAGTAGAGGCTATGTGACACTAGACTGTCTTAACCTTCTAACGTAGAAGGTAAAACAAAATATCTTTTCAGAAACTAACATGTTGTGGGAAGACCAGGAAAGTCAAGGTGACATTCGACATAGTTTTAACTTCAGTGCCATCAATGATACTAGAATAATAGGAACGTACTAGCTCACCTAAGTCGCTTTTGAGTCTGAAAATGAAATTCACAGCCTGACCTTTGGAGGGATTAAGCTTAAGACCATTTGACATTAAGTTATTCATTTTAGAACAATTTGACTGAGAAGTAACCGTCGGCATGAAAAAAGTCAGATTATCGGCATACTTAACAAAACTTGCTTCCTCAGAATGGAGAGGGGTGGGGTTGCAAGTCATGTAGGAAAAAAGAAAAAAGGGAAAGAACAGCACTTCGAGTGAGGAACTCTAGCTAGAATAAGTAAAGCGATGGAAGACTCCCCATTACATACAATGTACTGCTACCACCTATCAGAAAAGTAAATATGTAATCACTTATTAATCCAGTACCATGCTTTCGTTGCAGCAAGCTTGTTTAACAAAAATAGGTCAAGGTACAGCAGAGTCGAAGGCAGATGTGAAATCGATGAAGGCATATCGAATATATTTGACACGTCTATCTAAACTACAGACAGGATTATGATATAACATCAAGAAAGAACACGCCCCAAGACAAATTACAGTGCCGAAGAAGAAACTGTTTATGAGTCTGGCATTCAAAGGTGACACCATTTCGGAATTGATTAAAAATCGTTTATCTAAATGTATTAAACGTACTTTTCCTGCAGCTGACTTACAACTAGTTTTTACCAGCCAAAATATGATTAGACAATGCGTCAAGGATAGATTACCACTTTTGTCCATATCCATGTGTATTTACTCTTTTACCTGCTCTTGTGGAGCTGTTTATATTGGACGGTGTAAGCGTAATCTCCGAAAACGTGTAGCTGAACACTATCCAGTCTGGTTAATGAAAGGCGAACGTAGAACTGCGAAGTCGTCTATCTGTGATTACCTGTTAGAGTCAGGTCATTTAGCCCCACGTGATTAATCTTTCAAAGTTATCTACATGGCAAAATCGAATCGATCCAAAAGTTTACGTTTTCTTCACTTATGCATAGCCGAAGCTTTAGCTATACATGAACAGAAACCTAGATTATGTGTTCAAAAACGTTTTGTCAAACCCCTTTCTTTACCTTGGTCATAGTAATGTTCTTTCTAGTTTTTACTTTATTTTATTTTACCACTTGAATTCTTTCCACTTCACTTCACATCTTCATTCTTATCGTAATCGTACTCCTAATTTTTTAAAATTTTTAGACAACACTTGAGATTTTTAAAACATTTTTGATTTCAATTCACTTATAAAACAATCTTTAATAATTTTGTAATTTATCCACTTCAACTCTACCCCCTATAACATTTTAATTATTGTTATTCTTATCACATATATAAATGTATATTGACCGAGCAATTATTTAGTGCCACTTAATGACCTTTTCTGTAATATAAATACGACTGTACAGCTTGAAAATGAAGTCGTTGAAAAGAAACAGAATTTCTTCGCTGAACAAAAACTGTGTTTTTAATTATGATATAAGACGATAGTGGCATCTAAAATGCACCTACTGTATTTATAAGTAAATTGATTACGGTTGTAAAAAGCCTTCCATGAAGAATCAAGGTTATATTAAAGCAGTTTTTGCATTTTATTTTTAAAAAAGGTGAAGTAATGACAATACGCCTAAACTTATATATACTGATTGACTGACTGACTGACAGGTTTCAACATAGAACTTTGCATAGGTGTGTACCAGTTCAAGTCACCACACTTCACTCAGCACAGAAAGCAAGACAAGAAAGTGAAAAGATATGCAAAATAGAAACAGTAAACAGAGATACGAGGTAAAAAGAATAGTAATATCGACGAACAGTATAATTTTACTGGGTATTATAAGTCATAAGGAGTGGATGTATCTGCACCAGCCATCACTGAGAACGATTTTAAGTCATATCACCGACTGTCTCCAGCCGTCACTGGTTCTCGCCATCACGAGGACCCCGACCAGGAAGCCAGTCTACACCTTCATATGTGGCTTAAACTAACTGTTGTGGATTTCATTGAGTGATGAAGCCATGTTTTGGTTCGACCACCACTGGCTAGCTTTTTTCCAACTTGATCGATTCTATGCCATTCACTTAACACTGCCCGTCGAGGAGAGCGATGACTCTTGATGTCCTAACCATCTCAATCGATGTAACTTTACGGCCTCGTCTATTGATTTCCTCTCCCATCTACCTAGTACTCAACCAATGCCCAACCTCAATACTACCCACCCTATTATACCACTTCACACACACAGGAGATAGAACTCAGTCACTTATGATCAAAGACAGCTAGCCGCCCTTTTCATGTCTTCCACTTTCAATGGCTATGTCCCACTGACAGCCATAAAGTAGGACAGAGCGGACTGCTGAGCAGTACACACACTCCCTTTTTGCTTGAAAGCCAGCCTTCTGTATACGTGCAGAGAGATTTCGAAACACTTACATACATATAAAAGAAAAATCAGCGCATAGATAGATGAAAAATAAAACCTTATTATAATTTACCTTGTAGTAATAATTGAAATGCTAAAATAAACATATCTGGATAGTGATTTGAAATGAGTGTTTTCAAGTGTACAATACAAAGCTAAAATTTAACAAAAAAACAAAACAAAACTGATTGTAAGCAAAGTGCACAAAAATAGTAGTTCATGTGAAAAGGCACAACTTTACAGAAAGTGATATATTATCCCCTTACTCTCTCTATCTCTCTACCTCTCTCATCAGTGAAGAGGATATCAAAGGTAGGTAGGTAGTCAGGATCGGATAGCAAAAGTAAGACAAACAGGCGTTAATTACCCTCAAATAAGCGTGGAAATCTATAAAAATACTCGGTTTAAAGGACAACATCAACATTTTCAACGCTAATATCAAGATAATCAGTGCTTCTATACATAGTTTTGGAGACTTGTTGCCTCCTTCACAGGGGCGCTACTGAAAACTTTCACCAACACCTGACTACTTCTTGCAATACGGAAAATGTTAGCTGACAAAGTATTAGGTTGGAAGTGAGTTTGTGCTTGGAGAAACACTCTGCCATAAGAGAACCATCAATTTAGAGTGTATACTTGAACTCTCTCTCTCTCTATGAGTATTGATAAAGTATAATTCAACGCTTTAATACTAATGGTTAATTAATGAATTGATGAAGGATGGCCTTGTACTTCCAAAGTCTGTTTATATATAGGAAAATTGTGTGGTAGAAAAAGTGATCTCGTCAACTGGTCACTACAGCCTGAACAGCCGAAGTTGGATGGAATCCCCTAAGGCATAAACAGATACGCTTTGCTGGTCGGTCAGTTTTCGACATAGAACTTTGCACATATGTGCTGCAGTTCAAGTCGCCACACTCCCTCCATGTACCACACAAAGCAAGAGAAGAAAGTAAAAGAAATGCATAATATAGACAGTAAACAGAGGTGTAAGACAAAGGAATAGTAATAACGAAGAGCAAAACAGTTTCATTGGAAATCATAAGTCACAAGGAGTGGATGCATCTCCACCATCATTGAGAACGATTTTGAGCCATGTCACCAATTGTTTCCAACCATTGGTTTTTACCGTCCCGAGGACCCTAACCAGTCAGGAAGTCTACACCTTCCTACATGGCTTAAGCTAACTGTTGTAGATTTCATTGACTGGTGCCATGTTTTCCTTTAACCGCCTCTAGCTCTTTTCCAGCCTGGCCATATATCAGCTAACATTGCCCGTCGAGGTAGGCGATGGCTTGGCTAGGCATGCGTAACACATGTCCTAACCATCTCAGTCGATGTAATTTCACAGTCTCGTCGACTGATTTTTCCTCCTTACCTAGCACTCGACCGATGCCTAACCTTAATATTGCTCACATTATCATACCACTTCACGCGGGAGATAGAACGCAGACACCTATGATCGACGACAGCTAATCTTTTCATGTCTTCCGCTCTCAATGGTCAGGTCTCACAGCCATAAAGGAGGACGGAGCGGACTGATGAGCAGTACATACGCCCTTTGGTCGATAGTCGGATATACCCAACCGATAGCTGCTACCTTGACGTGGTGGTCGGGCTTGCATATCGCAATGACCCAACGAGCTACACTGGTTGAGATTTATGTTGCTTGAGGTCCTACCATGCCAGAAAGGTTGTTTGGATAGCGGTTAGACAAAAAGCAATTACCCAACCCAATGCTATGACTCAAACAAAGTCACAAAATATCATGCCGGAGCGGTCGGGGCCCGGAATAACAACGACCGCGCTTCTTACTGCCGTGTCACAGGGCAGAAGTGATAAATATGCTACTAGACACATCAAACAAAAATGAACAACCAAAAACAGGCCTCGTGTGACCGGCCTCAAGCAGTTGTCCCTTGGGCTCTGCGGTCACGCAACACTAACCTTTTCTCTATTTCAGGTATCCGAAGACTAAACTAACTTCCATGGTGTGGGCAGCCGGGAAATAACAACCGCCCACACACTTCCAAAAGCACACGACGCCTACCTGAGCATCACTCTCCCTTACTCTACTACAGTTAGCACTATTCTTCAGGCTAGTGAGTCATCTTCACTTCACTCTGCGACGACAAACAACGATGAGAGCCATAGAAACACCCCAGATACACTTTGCTGACAAGTGCTAGGGTCGCGCCTGAAGCCTAGACAACACACAGAGCTTCAAGGCGACAAACCGACAACAACCTCACATGAGGTATCAAGAACACGGAATCATGAGGTTACAACAAGGCGCTTATAACTAGAAAAGTGATCCACTCACTCTAACCGATATGCATTGGTTAGAAAATCGCATGATGGAGCATTTGCCAAAATGGTTGAAAACAGCTGAGTTCAAAGTGCCAAAATCCTCAATAACAAAGCATCTTGTGGATTACGAACATGATATCGATGCGGTCAAGTCATTCACTATTGTCAGCAGACAAAGAAACAAGAAGATGCTTGCAATTGCAGAGGCTTGTGCAATTCCAGTTTACAAACCAGGTCTCTGTGTACAAAAGGAGATGGTCGTGACTCTGAATCTACCATGGTCATACGTTTTACTTATAATTCTACCTCTTATTATTATTATTATTACTATTATTATTCTCATTATTATCATTCTTGATTCATTTAAAACTATCCTTTATCAGTAGCCTTGTCTTAACTCAAATTGACACTATTACTATTATTGTTATTGTTATAACTATTACTATTGACATCCCTCTGGTTGCAATTCTTGTTAAATTCTCTAATGTCTAATTGTTTATCCAAGTGATGTAATTGAAGCGTAATGCATTTTATCTTAATTTTGATCTCTTATACTCTCTCTCCCCTTATCTATTTGAACATGACCTGGAAAAACATTCGCACACACCTGTCTTTCTGCACGACTAATTCAATGTAGTTTGTTTACTTATCAGTCCTATATCTCCCGATGTAATTTCAAAAGTATATATATATCCATGTATGTAGAGTACTGAGCAGCTGACGAGTTCTACCGAAATTTGATGAATTCATCATTAAATCCTGCTTTATTAACCTACTTTGTTGCTTCTTTTAAAATCTACCATAGAATGAATCAATTCCATTACAAAATGAACACCTGAATGTTTTCATTACATGGTGATTTTACAAAAATCTAGTGATACTTCTACACACATCCATATGTAATCCTGAGACAGGGTAAAATTTCTAGGTAACGATTTTTTATAGAAACTAAAAAAACTTATAAGATTGATCTTTTAGTTGTTAGCTGTTAGCAAGAAAATATGGAAGTAGAAAAAATGACTTGGCTACCCTCCCCCACCCCCGATCTTTTCAACTACAGGCAGTCAGAACGGATAAAGATGTCAAAGCTAGCTAGCCAGCCAGTCAGTCAGCCAGAATCTGAAAGGCAAGATACACCTTCATCAACCTGAAACCAGTCTGGAAATCTTTTGCTGTCACTCAGCCAACACAAAGAAAAAAGTTAGGATTTCCAACACAAATGTTACGCCAGTCAATCCTTCTATACGGGTCAGAAACTTGCACTGCGCATGAGTCACGAAAAGGACCTGCCGCAGGTTATAGACTTTTATCAACAGCTGCCTACTTCGCTGGCTGGCTGGCTTCATACTGAAGATCAAATGGCCGGCCGGCCAGCCAGCGAGAGCCGATTGCTCAACAAATATGTAGGAGAAAACGGGGATGTATCCGGCGTACATTGAGGAGGCCGTCGAATGAAATCTCGCTTAATGCAGATCATCGTTTGAGTGGAATTCATATGGGAAGCGACGAGTGGGTCGTCAGTGCGAGGTGGACATGGAGGAGATCGTTTGGGGGAGGAGGATATAAGAGATTGTGGACAATTGTGGGGCCAGCCAGCTGAAGAGGAGATGTATTGTTGAAGCCCTATGTTCCACTAGGAACCCATGGGAATAATGATTATGGTAATAATAATAAACCCTTCCCTCGGCTGTAGAGGTTTAGTTCATTGGCTGTCTACTTTCAGTCAATGGATTTCACAGTTAGTCTAATTCATTGTGACCAACCACTTTTCAAAACCGGTCGTGATGACCTCAGGTGGACATTCTCTAACTTTGCCCAAAACTTTATCTTGTTTTTAAGAGAAAAACGAAAACAAATATTAAAATAAACAAACAAACAAACTTTGTGCAAATCTTCATTCTCTTCGGAGGAGGTTGAATTTACGCCTGAAGAATAATTAGTAGTAGTGGTAGTAGGAGTTGTTTCTTGAATACAATTGAATAAAGCAAGTATTAATTCATTCCACTGATCCTTGTTATAATATTTAACCTCCAATGAAAACCAAGCTTTGAAATTAATCTGTGGAAAGGAAATAAAATAATAAAAAAAAATCAATGGTTCAATAGTTTAAAACAAGCATTAAAGGTTAATAAAGCAGGATTTAATGAATTCATCAAATTTCGGTAGAACTCGTCAGCTGCTCAGTACTCTACATACACGGATGTATACTTTTGAAATTACATTGGGAGATATAGGACTGAATACTTTACATACACGGATATATATAGTTTTGAGATTAGATTGGGAGATATAGGACTGATAAGTAAATAAACTACATTGAATTAGTCATGCAGAAAGACAGGTACGAATGTTTTTCCAGGTCATGTTCAAATAGATAAGAGGAGAGGGGGTTTGAGAGATTAAAATTAAGATAAAATGTATTACGCTTCAATTACATCACTTAGATAAACAATTAGTCATTAGAGAATATAACAAGAATTACAAACAGAGTAATATCAATAGTAATAGTTATAACAATAACAATAATAGTAATAGTGTCAATTTGAGTTAAGACAAGGCTACTGATAAAGGATAGTTTTAAATGAATCAAGAATGATAATAATGAGAATAATAATAGTAATAATAATAATAATAAGAGGTAGAATTATAAGTAAAACGTATGACCATGGTAGATTCAGAGTCACGACCATCTCCTTTTGTACACAGAGACCTGGTTTGTAAACTGGAATTGCACAAGCCTCTGCAATTGCAAGCATCTTCTTGTTTCTTTGTCTGCTGACAATGGTGAATGACTTGACCGCGTCGATATCATGTCCGTAATTCACAAGATGCTTTATTATTGAGGATTTCGGCACTTTGAACTCAGCTGTTTTCAACCATTTCGGCAAATGCTCCATCATGCGAGTAGACAATCTCCTACCGAAATTTGATGAATTCATTAAATCCTGCTTTATTAACCTTTATTGCTTGTTTTAAATTCGTATCGGGAAATAAATGTTTCCAATTCTTGAAGAAGGTTCAATAGTTCCCTAACTGATATCTATCCATGGTCAAACTCGTATAAACAAATCGAATCCTTAGAAACCATACTCTTGAAAATTAATCTGATGCTCACTAGTGACTGATTACAGGACAGAGTTTCCTGGAGTTCTAGGGAGAAGTCGTGTCCAGTGAGGTCCATTCAGTCAAATGTGAGGATGAAGTTCCCATCGATGACATTGGTTGGTGCCAGTCACGCTAAATCACGAATTGGTAGAAGTTAGAATTCATTAGCTGGCCATTGAGTCAGGTGGGTCCCAGTGGCTGAATGGTTTACGAGCTTGTCTAGTTACTGGAAGGTCCTGGGTTCGAACCCCTGTGGTGGGTTCGTACCGCCGATGATTCCCGAACTACTTGGATGAAACAGCTGTCCAGTACACCCCGTGTCTGGTTTCCAATGGTTCTTTAACTGATATCAATCTGTGGTCAAACTCGTATAGACAAATCTAATCCTTTCAAACCGAACTCTTGAAAAATCAATAAATGGACTCAAATTTTCAAGGACTAGTGTTTGTAGGAATTTCGATTTATTTGAAAGTTGATCACAGATTGATGTTGGTTAGCAAACTATTAAAAGCCATGAAGTACTGGACCGCTGTTTCGCCGTGGTTTGGGAATCTTCATAAGAACGCACCCACAACAGGGGGTTCAAACTCAGGAGCTTCCGATTACAAGGCCATCTCGTAGATCATTCAGCCATAGGGACCCGATTCAAAGGGTTCATAAATTCCAACTTCTACCAATTCTTGAATTTAGCACGACCACCTCTGTGTGGGAAGTTTTAGAGAATCGAATTCTGTTTCATGTGGAATATAATATGGTAATATTGAGGTTGGGTATAGTGTTGTTAGGTTGCTATTACTATTGTTTTCTTTAGTTCCTAAAGGAACATAGGGCTTCAGTCGCACGTCTCCAGCAATTGCGTTCAGTTCTCTGACAACGTTTTCACCTGACTACGCATCTGCCCATATACTTTCATCTCCTCTTCGCATCACCTCCACTCCATGTCACCTTCGCACTGGCCACCAACTGGTTCCTGCTGGGTTGGTTCGTTCATCGCCAGAGATCCCTCCCTGTTGTTGATCTTTCCTGGCTGGCCATCTGATCTTGAGTAGTATTGAGTGAAGATAACTGTTGATGAAGGTCTGTAGTTTGTTCGAAGTGCCCTTCGTGACGCGGCGCGGCACCAAGTCTCTGATCCGTACAGTAAGTAGCACTGACTTCACATTGGAGTTGAAGGGGAAAAATCAATCGATGATATTTGGTAGGCTACATTGACTGAGATACCAAGGGGATGCAGTTACTCATGACACAGGATTCATCGTCTTTCTCGTTAACCAGTGTTAGTTTGGAAGAGAGTTTAAAGTTGGTCAAATCAGTCCACGTAATCACGTAAGGAGATGTACACTTCATTGCAGAGATTCCAGAGATGTCTGATATCACACAGACCTCCTATTGAAGATCCGATGGATGGCCAGAAATGATGAGCAACACTAAACTCTGGGAACAAACTAATTCAGAACCTATTGCCCAAGAAACATTCCAAAGAAGATGGAAACGGATCGGACACAGGCTGAGGAGACCGTTGGGTGACGTTGCGCGCTAGGTCATTGCTCGAATGGAAGGTGAGTGACGAGTTGGGGCATCCGTCCAAGGGTGAAATGGAGGAGATGAGAAACTATGGGCAAACGTGAGGCCAGCAAAGGAGGGCCGCAGAAAATAGGACAAAGCGAAGACGCGCTGTTGAAGCCGTATGTTCCACTCAAAACTCAAGGGAATAATAATAATAACTCAGTGAACAGATAGCACAAGACAAAAAAACCCATTTAAGTAAACCATTCAACAAAGAATTATTACAAGAAATTAAGAATGTGAAAGAAGAAGAGACCAACCTTTTCTAGGATATTCAAAGCTGTTTGTGCATTACACCGAAAACGTATATCCATTAAACGTTGATAGATTGGCAACAGGGGATGTTGACTTTTATGATCAGTTGGCTTAGTATTACTGCATGGATTAGGCGGTATAAATGTGGTACACAGTAAATTTGATAAATGCGGTAACGCTACCAACATATCCAGTAATAATTCATGCTGACTTGATAAACTAGTCAAAAATTCATTTGCTACAAAAGAAGAGATAAGAATTGGGAGGAAAAACAGAGATTGAGGTGTGTGGGGCGGGGGTGAGTTAATGTTTGAGTACTATATTAATATTAATCATGCACAGACTAAGCCGAACTCGGGAGGAACAAACGAGGGAAAATCAAGCGGGCTTTAGGCCAGGTAGAGGGTGCATAGATCATATCTTCACTCTCCGACAGATCCTAGCACATAGACACACTTTTAGGCGTCCAACAATTGCCATATTTCTTGACTTGAAGGCGGCCTTCGACTCCGTGGATTGAAAAGTACTATGGCAATGTTTGACTGTGAAGGGAGTGCCAAGAAAGTACATTGCAATAATCAAGGCACTCTACTCAAACTCACGTAGCCGTGTAAGGGCTTATGGGGAATTGTCATCTGAATTGATAACAACCAGTGGTGTCCATCAGGGATATTCACTTTCCCCATTTCTGTTTAACTTCATCATAGATATGCTAATGGAAGTATCCTTAACTGAACTTAACAACTTACGAATCGACTTGTTACCAGGGAATAGTCTTTGGACTTAGAATATGCAGATGACATAGTCCTGTTAGGGGAGGATGCTGACAAAATAGAGCAGAGTCTTCTGAACACCTTGAGCTGCAATCTTCGTACGTTTGGCACGCGATTCGCCCCTGTGAAATGTAAGATGCTGCTACAGGACTGGACTACGTCAACTCCAAGCTTAGTGATAGGGAGTGAAGTGATAGAACATGTTGACCACCTCACCTATTTAGGAATTTGTATCAGCACCAATGGATTGATTGGTGACGAAATTTCAGCACGGATCCAAAAAGCTCGAGCTGCTTTCGCTAACTTACACCACCTCTGGCATAGGCGTGACATCCGGCTATCAACCAAGGGATGTGTGTACTGCTCACCAGTTCGCTCCGTTCTTCTCTATGGCTCTGAAACATGGCCAGTACGAGTTGAAGACATGAAAAGGTTGACTTTTTTTGACCACAGATGTCTACGATCTCTTTCTCACGTTAGGTGGTATAATAAGGTAAGTAATGTTGACGTTAGGCTTAGAGTGTTGGGCAAAGAGGGAAAATCAATCGACGAGGCAATAAAGTTACATAGATTGAGATGGCTAGGTCATGTGCTGCGCATGCCTAACCATGGCCTCCCCCGACGGACGGGCATTACTAGCTGATATAGGTGTTGTGGGTTGGAAAAGAGTAAGTGGTGACCAAACAAAAACATGGCCTCATCAATCCATGAAATCCTTGACAGTTAAACTGAGTCAGATAGGGAGATGCAGACTTCCTGACTGGTTGGGGCCCGCCATCGGGACTCTAAGAATCAATGGCTGGAGACAGACAATAAGTGACATGGCTCAAAATCGTGGTCAATGGCTGGCTTACGCAGATGTATTCAGTCTCTTGTGTAATCTTTCATATTCCTTTCTACCATTATTCATTCTGTTTCACTCTTATACTTGTCAAAACTCTATTGATTCTCTTCACTCATTTTCTTGTCTACCTTTGTGTAATATTTGGAACGTGGCAACTTGAACTGCTGCACTTCGGTGCCAAGTTTTATGTTGAATCCAGCCAGCCATGTCTAATTGACCTCACAGTCATCATTACATGGTATTTGTCAAATTATATTATTTTTCAAGTATTGGTTTTTTTTGTAGGGATCTTGTTTGATTGGTTTTGGGATTTCATCATGAGCTGACATCAGCTAGAGAGCCATTAGAAAACCTAGGAGTACTGGACAGCCGTTTCATTCTAGTTTGGGAATCATCAGCAGTACTCACCCACCAAGGGTGGTTCCAACCCAGGACCTTCCGGTTACAAGGCAAGCTAGCTCGTATACCATTCAGCCACTTGGACCCGACTCTTCAATGGCCAGCCTATGACTTCTAACTTCTGCCAATTCAAGGATACTGTGACTACTTTGCAATGTCTTCTTCGATGAGTTACTGCCTCACCTTCAACCTGCTGTACCCTACTGGTCACGGCTTCCCACTAGAACCCCAGGTAACTGCCTCAAATACAGCCAGTCATTAGTGAGCATCAGATATATCGCGCAAGTCCTTAAGCCAACAAAGTTTATCTCTAAGGGAGTTGGTTGGTTGGTTTAAATGCCACTCCAATTCCAGTCTCATGGAGAATCCCACATAAACGCCTCTGACATTCCTTCTATATACTTTATAGGTATTTCTCTGATTTTTTAGAACACTACATATAGCTGTACTTCAAATTGAAGTATGCGCTGAAGATGTCGCCTAGTAGGGCGATGAAAGCCTCGCAAATTAACTATCCAGCTCAGAGAACACAACCATGTCAAAATCATCCACCTGAGCTACAAATCTTCTCTATTATATCTATATAGCTGTACCGTTTTGAAGTGAAGTTACGAAAACAATTTATCCTTTGCTGATTTATATCAGTTTAATTGATTTCATTCCATTTCCATTTTGTGAGAAATAAAATTATACACGAGAGTAAACAGTGAATTTTATATTAGGATAGAAGTGACTATATTAAAAAAAGATGAATGATATATTGAAGGATACACAGAAGCTTTAAAAACTTGAGGAGAAGAAAGATTTCAATTACAAAGTAGAGAATGAATTAATTAACCAGACGTTTGAAGAAAATAAGGGAGGAGCAGATATTCTCTGAAGATTTTTATATGGAGAAATCAAGCCAACGGGCACGTATACGCCAAGATTCTATGGCCTACCTAAAGTGCATTAACCAGGGGTACCGTTAAGACCAATACTTGATATGCAGAATTCGCCCTACCATACTCTAGCTAGATGGTTAGTAAATATTCTCAAACCTTTGCATGAGAAGACAGTGAAATATAGCGTAAAAGATGTATTTGAATTCGTAGATAAAATAAAAGATATCAGTATCAAGGACAAAACCATGATATCTCTGGGCATAACATCGTTATTCACAAATGTACCTCTAGTAGAAACAGTTAACTACATATGTGAACAAAATGCATAACCAGTAGATAAATATTGGGATCCGAACTGAAATCGTAAAAGAATTGTTATTGAGGTGTACCATGAATGCAAATTTCAAATTTGACGGAACACTTTACAGACAAGTGGACGGGGTGGCGATGCGCTCCCCATTGGGTCCCATTTTGCCTGATTTCTTTCTAAGTAAACTAGAAAACGGACCTTCGAACAACCCTATCAAGAAATTCGCATTTTATTGCCGTATATGGATGGCACCTTCATTCTTTGTGATAATGGTTCGGATAGGAACACAATAATAACTGAATTCAGTGGAGTACATTCGGCTATGAAATTCACATGCGAAGAGGAATCCCAAAACAGAATTAACTGCCTTCCTGGATGTCCTCCTTACAAGAAAACCAGATGGTAGCATAAAAACAAATTTACATAGAAAAAGTACATGGACAGGACAATATAAACATTCTCACAGCTTCGTTCCTCTTCAGTACAAAAGAAATTTAGTAAAGACCCTCAGCCACACAGGGTTAGAGCTATATGCTCAGAAGAGGCAAATGAAGATGAATTAAGCATTGTATATGATACTTTGATCGAAAATAGCTATCCCAAAAAATTTATCAAGAAACACATGGCAAAGAAAGTGGGAAAGGACTACTCACTATCCGTCAATAATAAGCCTTCAGATATACGACTACATTACATGGGCGATATACCAAGCGAGTTAATTACGAAGAAATTAAGAGAATCAGTTCAAAGAACTTTTAATACTGGTGAACTACACGTCTTATTCTCTAAACGACCGGTGGTGATTCCTCGACTGGAAGATGAAGTACCTAGACTAGCCATCCCCGATTTTATCTACCAATTCAACTGCGCTTGTGGAGCAAGTTATATCGGCTGTTGCTCTAGGAACCTGATTTTTCGTGCTCTCTTGGGAACATCTCCCAGTATGGCTAAGTAAAGGTGTAGTGAAAACCATTAACAGTTCGATATTAGACCATCTGGTGCAAACCCGCCACAAAGCCAGCGTTGAAGAATCTACGGGGTGCCAAATAAATTGCTGAAAGCATCCACCTACCAACCTCATGCTACAAACAGCAGAGGGTATTGGAATTCGCCTCAAACAACCAGTGCTCTGTGTGCAAAAGAAGCAAGTCCAGCCAGCCCCTACTTCTGTCCTGGCCGGCCTTCAGTAGAGACTACAAATTCATGAATTTGTAATATTATCTTTCTTAATTTTTCTGACATTCAGTTTATTGTTATGTTGATGCTATTGAGCTGTAATCTATCAAAATTATTGATTCGATCTTATTTAAAGAACATTTATGTTGTTGATAACACTAATTCATTCATTCACTATAATGTATATATGACTGTAGAGCCTGATGACGAAGGGGTTATCGAAAAGTGTGTTCTTTGTTCAGTAACCATTCTTTTGGAAATAGAAATGTATTCATTCACACGAAGATTTTGTTGTTATCTAAGAATGATAAAATTATAGGCTAATACAGCAAGAGTCAGGATAATACTGAGACTAACACATTTAAAGTACCATTATATTATAATCATTATTATTTGTTCCTTGTCTTTCTAGTGAAACACATATGACTTCAGCCATACATCTCTGTTTTACCATATTCTCTGGTTCTATGACTACATTACAATCCTTTATTTCTTTTTAACATGATTTCCTTCACCATGTCACCCTCACACCAACACCCAACTGCTATCCATCTCTTGCTTACCATTCAACGGTCTCCTTAGTATAATATGTCTAATCGATCCACATTACTTGTCAGAGGTACTACCAATGGAAATTCAAACTTAAACGGAGACAAAACTAGCTAGCTGGTCATGTATAAACACAATTTCACCCCACCCCGCCCCCCTCTGCCACAAATATTGATTTCCATAAAATCGAATTTTATGCAATGACTTTCAGGATTAAAATGTCATCAAGATGTATATACAATCTTGAAGGAACTCATATCCCCTCAGAGATTCGAACCCATGTCAGCCAGTTCTGAGGTCAGAGATGTCACCACTAAGCTATTCGAACTCGCGATGAACTTAGACAGTGTTTGTGGAGAAGGTCGTGTGGGGAGGAAATAATGGCACAGAACAGGGTGAAGTGGAGATGTGCTGCTCTAGGCTCCACTGACAACCTAAAGGAATAATATTAGCATTATAATAAATAATACTGGACAACATAAGAAAAGAAGCGCGCCAGTACTGTCTAATGACCTTGTAAATAATGCAGAGAAAGCTAACACATTTACTTTAATAAAACAAAATAAAATAAATCGATAAACAGCTGGATATTTACCAAGTTCACCGACACAATTAGCAAATATCTGTTTAGTTAATGGACATTGAAGGAGATGTCCAGAGAGATTTTGACACAACTGTTGAAAACATTGTAATCCAGTCGACTGGACAAGATTTAATTGATTGACAATTGAGGTAGATTCATTATTTGATGGTGTTGATGAACTAATAGTCCCTGCTGAATGGTTACTATTCAACTCTGAATGAATTAAACGTGATTTGTGTATCAGGTAGCTGATGACAGGATAAAAGAAAAAAAGCAAGCAAAAACAAATGAAGAGTTCAGTATTAGGAGCAGAGAGAATAAAAGCGCATAGTGTTAGTACTGACGGTTATGAGAGACACATTTGTTGTGTAAGGGCTAATAATACTATTACTACTACTACTACCCAGTTGTACCACAGGATGATAAGGTAGATGAAGCGGGACTCGAATCCAGGGGGCGTCGACTTAAAGTTGAATGCTTCAATCAATCAAACATATATCTCCATCTCACATATTTGTAAATAAGTTAGAGTAGTTCTCATCAACCGCAGATGAGGAAGCAATGACTGACTGGTTACAACATGGAAACTTACACCAATGTGCACCAGTTCAATTCGCCACACTCCCTCCATGTAGCACACAAAGCAAGAAAAGAAAGTAGACGAAATACATAAAATAGAGACAGTAAACAGATATATGAGGCAAAAAGAATAGTAATATCGAAGAACAATATAGTTTTATTGGGTATTATAAGTCACAATGAGTAGATGCATCTGCGTTAGCCACTGAGAACGATTTTGAGCTATACCAGCCATTGGTTTTCACCGTGGCGAAGACCCCAACAAGTCAGGAAGTCTACACCTGCCTACGTGGCTGGTTGGCTTAAACTAACTGTTGTGGATTTCATTGACTGATGAAGCCATGTTTTGGTTTGACTACCACTGGCTCTTTCCTAACCTGACCCTATGTCAGCTAACATTGCCCGTTGTCGAGGAAGGCGATGGCTTGTCGTGCATGCACATGTCCTAACCATCTCAGTCGATGTAAATTCACAACCCCCTCGTCCATTGATATCCCCTTCATACCTAGCACTCGAAAGATGCCTAACCTCAATATTGCTCCCCTTATTATACCACTTGAGACACACGGGAGATAGAACGCAGTCACCTATGATCAAAGACAGTTAGCCAGGCCTTTCATGTTTTCCACTCTCAATGGCCATGTCTCACTCACAGGCATAAAGGAGGACGAAGCGAACTGACTGCTCAACAGTACACATGTCCTTTGGTCGACAGCCAACCGGATATTATGTCTACGCCAGAGACGGCGTAAGCTGGCATATACAAAACTAGCCCTCTATTTTTCCGTGCTGAGATTTAATCAGTGATCAACCCGTTGGCGTTGGCTGATGCAACTTCCCAAATAAGTGAAGTGGTCAACACTCTCCACCAACCACTTCACTTCCTATTTCTAAGCTAGGAGTGAGTCAGTGTAGTCCAGTCCAGTCCTGTAGCATCACCTTACATTTGGCAGAGGGAGCGAATCGCATGCCAAACATTCCCAGATTGCAGCTCAAGACGTTCAGAAGACTCTGCTCTATGTTATCAGCGTCTTCACCTTACCTAGGAGGACTATATCATCTGCATATTCTAAGTCAACGAGACTATTCCCTGGTGGCAACAAGTCAATCCCTGAGTCGCTGAAGTCAGCAGTTAGGGTTAAGTCCACTAGAACATACATCTATGATGAAATTGGATAAAAATGGGAATAGTGAGTTGGCCTCCCTGACAGACACCACTAGTTGTCACCAGTTCAGATGATAACTCTCCGTAAGCTCTCACCTGGCTGACTGCATGAGTTCGAGTAGAGTGAGTGCCTCTCGGTCGACAGAATCGAATGTCGCCTTTAGATCAAGAAATATGAGGAGACAGTGGGTGGGGTTTAACTAAGATCAAATTCATGATTAGAGTCAAGAAATAATCAGATCAAATGATGATCTGTACACATGGATCTATCTTTTCTAATTTTTATCGATTCACAACATAGAGAATGATTACCTGCCTGGATCAAGTGTTTTCCTATGTTTGAAGACGATCTAATAAGTTTATGACTATGAATTACTAACGGGTCGAGGAGGTGAGAAATTTATAACAATTTAGTCCTTTTAATAAATTTGGATAAAAGACAGATATTATATGAAAAAAAAATAAAATGATTTATTGACTGAATATATTTCAAAAACAATCTGATTACATCATCTTTGTTAGCTGATGTTTTTATATGCACAAATGATTATGTCACCTCATAAACTATATACAAATTTACGTGTGTGTGGACACATACATAAGGAGGAGTAATCGCGTTTTGTATGTGAGTGTGAGAGAGCATATTCCGATTTGGCTAAATGAACTGTGGAGAGTCGATAAACGCATGTGGCAGACTACCAACTTCGTCGATAGATAGTTATCTAATCGATATAAATCAAAATCGGTTTTAAGATTTTTTTAAAAAAAGTTATATTTTTCAGATAATCTGCATCTTCTTCTAATAACACTGTCCAGATCTTTAGAAGTTATCAACTCATAATGGAAACTATTTCGGAACCAAACGATTCTTGATATAAATTCCAAAGAAGACATGTTTTTTTCCTTCACGTTCCCCAGTGGAACATAGGGCTTCAAGCTAGTGGCTTGAAGTTTCTGTAGCAGTGTTTATTATTTTACAGGATGGGTTTGCAAGCCTAACGCCCAACGTTCCCTCTTCACCAGCATTATTTCTGTCTTAGCGAGGTAAAGGAGTGCGTCGGCCGGGGATCGAACCCCGGACCATGTGCATGGTCGGCGAGCGTCCTAACCGTTATGCCACCGACACAAGCCTAGTTAGAACTGAGAGATTTTATGTGCCAGGGGCAATGAGCCAAATTTATTGTGTGAGGGTAATCTTACTATTCAGTTATTGTTATCGTTATTATTTCCTTTAGTTCCTAGAGGAACATACGGCTTCAGTCGCACGTTTCCATCCATAGCGTCCGGTTCTCCACCAACGTTTTCACCTGACTCCACGTCTGCCCACATGCTTTCACCTCCTCTTCGCATCACCTCCTCCACTCCATGTCAACCTCGCACTGACCACCAACTGACTGGCCACTTTCCATTCAGGTTCCACTCGAGCGATGGCGTCATGTGTGATGTCACTCACTTCATGGTTTGTTTTCTCAGGGTATGGCCTCCAATCCACCTACCTCCATTTCTTCATGCATATTTGTTGCACAATCGGTTCCTGCTGGGTTGGTTTGTTCATTGCCAGAGATCCCTCACTGTTGTTGATCTCTTCTAGCCAGCCATCCGATCTTGAGCGAAGTATTGAGCGAAAAGAGCTATTGATGAAGGTGTGTAGTTTGTTCAAAATGCCCTTCGTGACGCCCCGCCAAGTCTCTGACACGTATAGTAAATAGCACTGACTTCACATTGGAGTTGAAAATCCGGATCTTATTTTTGATGCTGAATGGTGCTGTTGACCTCCACGCAGACTTGAGAGTAATGAAAGCTTGTCTTGCCTTTCCGATACTTGCTTTGATGTCCTCATCAGTTCCGTCCACCTGTAGTTGAAACGATGCTTTCCAGGTAGGTAGGTAAGTAGGTAGGCGAAGAAGGTTGCTTCTATCAGATTTCAACCATATATGCTGATTGTTATCTGTTGTTGTTGGCGAGGAATCTTCGTCATCTCTGCCTTCTCTATGTTCACCTGAACTCCTTCCCATCTTTGATGCTTCTTCTGCCAACTTGTTGTTTTTCACTTGCATATTTTCCAGTTTCTGGGAAATCAGACATGTATCATCGGTGAATTACTCATTCTGTTTCAATCTTATACTTATCTAAATTCTATTGATTCTCTTCTCTCCTTTTCCTGTCTACCTTTGTGTGCTATTTGGAACGTGGCAACTCGAACTACTGCACTTCGGTGCCAAGTTCTATGTTGAATCCAGCAGCAGCAGCATCATCGGTGAAATTCAGACTCTCCAAGTCTGAATTAGATGCAAAAGGATCCGAACTCAGGAACCACTGAATGAAAGTCAAATGCTCAAAACAAAATCGATAACAATTTAAATTTCTAGAGCAAATTATTTACCCGTCATAACTTTTATATTTAGTAAATGTCTCATAACTGAATGACCAGAAAAAGTGAACTTATGTGAAGTGTAATAATCGTTTAGGTGGTTGAGGGTTATAAGATGTAAGGTCTTGCATTTAGGTTTCGCTCTTACTGATACTCATCAGTGGAAAATTTGTACTGTGATAATGATAAGGGGGTGAAATTACAACATCTTTGAGAACATTCTTTGCACTACTTGCTAGGAGTAGTGATCTTCAGAAGCCTGAAAAACACGACCTCACATATGCATCATCAGTTCACCTGCTCCTATGGGACCAGGTATGTCGGTCGTTAGAGGAGTATCCTGTCTACAATCGTTCGAAAATACCATCATCTAACATGGTTGCAGAAAGGTATCAGTGGCTCCATAAGGAATACTGTAATTGAACTTCTCATTATCTAAAGTGATCTACAAAGTGAACAGCAACTTGCCAAGACCAACAACTCTTTCGTCTCCTTTGCATTGCTGAAATTCCAGACATGCAAATAGAGAAACCGGAGTGCATTAAGTAAAAAAGAGGGTTCTTCAACCACTTCTACTATCATGGTAATGACCATGTTGTAGCGGAAAGTCAGGTCTAAAACTCTGTCCATGAACAATATGCCGACAATATCGATTTTTTGTTGTTGAATATTTCAAATAATTTTGTAATTATTACCCTTCTAACCTGACTTGCATATCATCATTCTGACAGTTGCATTTCTCCATTTGACGTGGTCCCAGCTTGTCCCTGTTCGTTTTCGACTGAAATTTTGTTTCAATGAAGTCAAAGTTACGCTGTGAAGTGACTGTCTGACTTTGGACTGTTAGCATGAAACGCATTTTGTCCTCTTTGATTAATTTTCGCTGACAGAGTTTCGATTCTACCCTTTTTGGGTATATTCTATTGATTCTCAAGTAAATTAGGATTCTGATTGGTCAATTAATTTCATTGTATGACCTCTGGATTGTACAGGAGGTAGTTTCTCACTTTTGGAAAGACGTTATTATCGTTGAATGGTATCACAGATTCCTTCATATCAGAGCGTTCTTTATAGATATTGTTGGAGTATAAATTTCGGATCCGGATTTTTAACTCCAATGTGAAGTCAGTGCTACTATACGGATCAGAGACTTGGCTAGTGCGTCATAAAGAGCATCTCAAACAAACTACACACTTTCATCAACAGCCAGTTGTCTTCGCTCAATACTCAAGATCAGATGGCCGGTCAGAAATGGTCAGCAACAGGGATCTCTGGGAGCGAACCAACCGGGAACCGATTGTGAAACAAATAATCAGGAAGAAATGGAGATGGATTGGCTGGTCATACTCTGAGGAAACAAGCCATCAAGTGACATCACTAGACAAGCCATTGCTCGAGTGGAACCCGAAAGGGAATCGGCGAGTTGGTAGTCAGTGCAAGGGTGACTTTGAGGAGGAGGTCTTGTGAAGAGGAGATGAAAACGTGTGGGCAGACTTGGGGCCAGGTGAAGACTCTAGAAGAGAACCGAACGCAATGGAGACGTGCTTGGCTGAAGCCCTATGTTCCTCTAGGAATTAAAGGAAACAATAATATTAATAACAGATTTCGACAGTGCGTGATCCACTAAAGTTCGGTGAGCTATGTACATAAGAACGCGTCGATTGGTTTACTGCGTTCAGAAGGAAATACATTGGGGTTTCGGTCAGTACACCTGCTGTTTTCTCCTACGTAATATCACATCTCCCTTGTTTTTATAGTGTTGCAACTCATTAATTGGCTAATTTACCTCATTACTAAACAGTATCACCCTTATTGAGCTTCTCTTATGTGAGATGTACATTGGATGTCCAGTTTTTATTCAGTGGTCAAATATACTGACAGAAAAATTGAGTAGAAATGGCTTGTTCTCTACTCGGTCTCTTATTCGTCAACTATCTATCATAGCGTACCTTGAATCTAATGTCCTCCAATCAATAATTCAAAGCTTACAGACCACACACGTATATGGTACCTCCTTTATCATCAGCGATAAAAATTCTGACCTCAACAAAATCTTGGAAATCTTTAACAAGGCTCATCGATCCAATAGAATTTAAAATTAAAGCGAAATCAGAAGGTAAATTTTCCTTCCTAGATGATGTCCAGCTTGCAAGACAATCAGATAGAAGGTCAATCAATCACGAGACAAAATGGAATGGACAACTGACAAACTTCTCATTGCCTCTCTTGCAACGAGAGTCTACCATATATGCGCTGAAAGTACATTGAATAAGGAATTGGAATACACCAGAAATACTCTAATCCAAAATGGATATCTCATCTACTCCATCGACAAATGTCCAAGAAGAAAGACCGAAACTCCACGAAAGCTGAATTTATTGTAAGTCTGAAATTCTAGGGAGATACAATCAGTGAAGTTCTCTGAAGTCGGCTGTCGAGAACATTTCGAAGAACGTTCTTCAAGGCATCTCTCCATACACACATTTTTGTTTACTAAAATGTCAAAGACGAGATCACGTTGTTGGCAACTTCCACGGATATTTACCAGTTCACTTGCGCCTGTAGAGGCAAAGTACATAGACTGTACTAAGTTGTCTACACGCGACTATGAACAATTATCAGTATGGCTGTCGAAAAGACAACGCGGAACAGCCAATAGCTCAGTTCTGATCATGCATCAGCGTCAGCAGAGACTTCTTTCAAAGTCATACATAAAGCGAGATCATGTTGTTCAAAAGGATTTCGTCTACATCTCCTTTATGCAACCGAAACTTTAAAACTCCATAAGAAGGAACTTGAACTTTGTGCTCATAAATGTTTCATCCAGCCTCTTTTATTACTACTCGCGTGATTTTAGTGTCAATTTTGTTCCCCTGAATTGTTGCATAATAAATTCTATGAAGTCATTGCGTCTGTTTGTTTTTTTTCTTTTTTTGTAACGCATTCTTAAAACTTCCTATCGATTAATTCAAATTCATGATTATACATCAATGCAGCAACTAGTTGTCACCCATCTCTAGATTACGTAAGATTATTGTGAATTTTTCAAACATTGTTATTTCTCACACAGTTTGATTTATTTTGCTGATAATGTGCATTAACCAGTTCACCTGCTCGTGCGGAGCAAGGTACATAGGTCGTTGTATGCGCGTCCTTTCAAAACGTGTTAGATAACATTACCCAGCGTGGCTGCAAAGAGGAGGCACCGGTTCAACCAGAAGTGCCATTATTGAGCATCTGATCAATAACCTCCCACAACATCTCAACTGATTCATTCAAAGTAATTTACAAAGTCAACAGAAACCTACCGAAAGCAGTTTGTTTTCGACTTCTCTGTACTGCAGAAGCCCTCGCTATATGCATCGAGAAGCCGGAGCTGTGTGTTCAAAAGAAATTAGTCCAACCTCTACAACTACCATGGACTTAGTTCGGTATGTTACCTTAGCTTCCGTTTTTGTTTTTTGATCCCTTTTCGTTCGCTATGTGTGTGATTCTTACTCCCTCGGTCTCCGATTCACCCCAATTTTTTTTCCAGTTATAAAAAAACAGTTATTTTAAGTTTGTTTCCATGCTTTTCCTGTTCACATTTATAATCCGTTTTAAAAAATTTACAATTATATCTTAATCGTGTGCAATTTTTTTCGTGTGTTTCTAAGGCTCTTGTAATCTATATTCACACTTCCTAACTTCCATTTTAAGTTAAAACTATTATATCAATTTTTGTTTCCATGCTCATTTTCTGTACACCTGTAATTCGTTGTAACCCTGTATAATTTCTAAGGCTATTGTAATCTATATTCCCACCTCCTGATTCCCATCTCAAGTTGAAAATTATTATTTCAATTTTGTTTCCATGCTCATTTTTACACACTTGATACCGTCCTAATCCTGCATAATTTTGTTTCTAAGCCTCTCGTAAAACCATATCTAGTTGGAAATAATTGTCACTTTTTATTCGCTGTCGTAATTATGTAGAATCAAACAAGAATTGTCTCCATGTAAAATTATGTATTTAAATGCGATTGTACAGCTTTTAAAAATGAAATCGCCGAAAAGATATCTTTGCTGAACTTCTTCTTCTCAATCTAATGTTCCAATGGGTATTTTCCACGATTTGCTGGTAACTGACAATAATCTCTGATTTTCGTTGTCAGTTAACACGAATTGATGTCAGTTAGAGCACTATTGACAACTACTACCAATGAGTACTGGACAACTGTTTCATCCAAGTCTGAGACTTATCGGCAGTATGCACCCACTACAGGGGGGCTCGAACCTAGGACCTTCCGGTTACAAGGCAAGCTGGCTCGTAAACCATTAAGCCATTGGTATCAGATCCAATGGCCAGCGCACGAATTCGAACATCTACCAATCCATGATATGGCGAAACTACCAATCAATATAATCGGCGGGAACTCCATCTTCACTCCCGACTGGATGGACCCCACTGGGCACGATTTTTGACTAGAACTTCAGGTAACTTTTTACTTTAGCTAGTCACTAGCAGGCATTAGATTAATTTTCAACAGTGACTACTGTGGTCCATCCAGTCGGGAGTGAGGATGGATTTCCCGGCGATGACATTGGTTGGTGGTTGCGAAAAAACCACGAATTGGTAGAAGTAAGAATTCATGGGCTAGACATTGAGGAGTCGGGTCCCAGTGGAAGATAGGTATACGATCTAGCTTGCCTTGTAACCGGAAGGTCCTGGGTTCGAACGCTGGTAGTGGGTGCGTACTGCCGATGATTCCCAAACTAGGATGAAACAGCAGCTGTCCAGTACTCCCTGGTTTTCAATGGTTCTCTAACTGATATCAATCCGTGGGCAAACTCGGTAAAAAAAAACCAAATGTTTACAAAACAACTCTTGAAATATATATGCGTCGGTTGCACAGCGGTAGAATTCTCGCCAGCCACTCAGGTGGTCCGGCTGACGGACGCACTCTTTTACCTCGCTAAGCCAGTAATAAGCCTGGCAAAGAGTGGAGGTTAGACATGAGGCTAGCAACCCCCAATCTCGTAAAAATAAACACCACTGCTGCCTAAACTTCAAACCTCTAGCTTGAAGCCCCCCTATGTTTCACTGGGAGGGTAAGGGATTTATATATATATATATTTTTCCTTCACGTTCCCAGTGGAACATAGGGCTTCAAGTTAGTGGCTTGAAGTTTCTGTAGCAGTGTTCATTTTTACAGGATGGGGTTGCCAGCCTCATGCCCAACCTTTCCTTTTTACCAGCATTATTTCTGGCTTAGCGAGGTAAAGGAGTGCGTCGGTCGGGGTTCGAACCCCGGACCATGTGCATGGTCGGCGAGCGTCCTAACCGCTCTGCCACCGACGCCTATTTATATATGTATATATATATATATACATACATATATATATATATAAACCTTCTGAATAACTGTACAGCTTTGAAGTGAAGTCACGAAAAGGGATTTCTTCGCCCAATTATCTGTTGGTTAATATTCCCCCAACTATACTTACCTATGACAGCTAATCTCTTGCATTATATCTTCTTTTAAGGAAAAGTATATACAAGTGCGACTGTACTGCTAAAGAAATTCAAATCGCAGACAGGGGCTTCTTTACTGATCAACTTGTTTTTGTGGTTGTTTTTCATGAATGCATATTATTATTATTCCCTTGAGTTCAGAGTGGATACACAGTGCTGAAGCATCACATCTCCACTTTGTCCTATTCTTTACGATCCTCCTCATCTGGCTCTACGATCGTCCTCCTACACACACACACTGTCTCATCCATGTGACCATCAGATCAATACTTAACTCATTGTTTACTATTCGGGTTCCACTTGAAAATTTCTCTGGTGAGTGACGTCAGCCACCGGCCTGATCCATCTCTATTTTCTTCAGAGTATTTGTTGAGAGATATTCCCCGGTGGGCGCATACCGATGAGGAGTCTTGAACTAGGACGAAACAGCTGTCCAGTACTCCCTGGCAGGTTTCGCAGTAGTCCTCTAACTGATCAAACAAATTCCCTACAAAAGTAATACTTGAAAATATAAAATAAATTACAACAGAAGTGATTTTATAAACTTTTCAAACCATAAACTGTTTTATACCTGACTGAATTTTGTAACTGTAAGACAGTATATGCCCAATTCTGATTCAATCTCTCTTTATTATCTGTGGACGAGGAAGAGGTGGAGCAGGAGGTGGATATCGATGAATCATTATAATAATTGTGAACATCACATGCTGCAATTTGTGAAATGTCTATAGCTGTTTTAATTGACTTGTCTAGATCAGATCTGTGTAGCTGATACAATTGTTGAATTTGATCATCACATTTATCTGTTTGATATTCACATGAGATATTACTTCCACCAGAACACGGTTGATAACCAGGCATCCAGGTAGGTAGAACTAAAGAAAAAAGCAACATAAAGCAGATAGATAGACAGATAAAAGGAGATAAGATAGCAAACAGCAAAAAAAATGTGGACTGGTACGTTTAGCTTGAGGTGATCGTAATTAAACAGTTAAGAGCTTAAGTAAGAGCTACAACAGTACATCTCGACTGCATCTTGTTCCCTGAAGCTCTCTTCAACTGGATTCACAATTGTCCATATGCTTTCATCTCTACCTCACAAGATCTGTTAAATTTCACATTTGGATCCTCATGCCCAACTAATCGTTTCCCATTCGAATTCCAGTCGAGAAGTCTGACTGGCACACGATGTCACTACTACTACTACTACTACTACTAAACGGTCTAATGAGCGTGTTTATGATCCATCTGCATTTCATGCGGTTTTGATTTTTGTAGGGCATTACGGGTTACTGCACTGATTAAGGCACTCTACTTGTATTCATGCAGCCAGGTGACGGCTTACGGCGAGTTGTCATCTGAAGTGGTGACGACTAAAGGCATCCGTCAAGGATGCCCATTATCCCCATTTCTATTTAACTTCATCATAGACGTACTAATGGACTTAACCCTAACTCACTTCAGAGACTCAGGGATTGATTTACTACCAAGGAATAATCTCGCTGACTTAGAATATGCCGACGATATAGTTCTTCTAGGCGAAGACGCTGACAAAATGCAGAGTCTTCTGAACACCTCGAGCTGCAATCCTCGTATGTTTGGCATGCAATCTTGCAGGATTGGACGACACCGACCCCTAGATTAGAAATAGGAAGTGAAGTGGTAGAGGACGTTGACCGCTTCACTTATTTGCGGAGTACCATCAGCCAGTGCCAACTGGTTGATCTCTGACGAAATCTCAGCACGGATACAGAAGGCTAGTTTCGCATATGCCAGTTTACACCGTCTCTGGCGTAGACGTGATATCCGACTATCGACCAAAGGGCGTGTGTACTGCTCATCAGTCCGCTACGTCCTCCTTTATGGCTGTGAGACCTCGCCATTGAGAGCGGAAGGCATGAAAAGATTAGCTATCTTTGATCATAGGTGTCTGCGTTCTATCTCCCAGGTGAAGTGGTTTAACAAGCTGAGCAATATTGAGGTTAGACCTTAATCGAGTTCTAGGTAAGGAGGGGAAATCAGTCGACGAGTCTGTGAAAGTATATCGACTGAGATGGTTAGGACATGTGTTACGTATGCGTGCCTAGTCATCGCCTTCCTCGACAATGGGCAATGTTAGCTGATATACGGTCAGGCTGGAAAAGAGCTAGCAGTGGTCAAACCAAAACATGGCACCAGTCAATGAAATCCACAGCAGTTAGTCTAAGCCGGTCACGTAGGAAGGTGTAGACTTCCTTACTGACTGGTTGGGGTCCTCAGGACAGTAATAAACAATGGTTGGAAACAATTGGTGACATGGCTCAAAATCGTTCTCAATGGCTAGTGCAGATGCATCCACTCCTTGTGACTTATGATTTCCAATGAAAATATATTGTTCTTCGTTATTACTATTCCTTTGTCTCACCCCTCTGTTTCTCCTACTTTCTTCTCTTGTTTTGTGTGCTACATGGAGTGTGGCGACTTGAACTGCAGCACATATGTGCAAAGTTCTATTTCGAAAACAGACACACGGGTTGTTGCTTGGTCTGAAGCGTGTTCGAAATGCTTTTGGTGACCTGCTGAACCATATAGAAGAAATTGATTTGAAAAATCGAGTTTTGTTCTTTCTGTTTACTGCAACAGATATCCAAAATGATTTCAGATTGAGGAAGGTTTGTGTTTCCTTCCCGAACATGGCTTTAACATCTTCATTTGGGCCAACTAGTCTATTAGCCTGCCTGCCCTAAGGCCAGAAAACCAAAATAAAGTTGGGGAAGTTGTTATGATTATTCCTCACTTAAAGTTGAAATGAGACATTTGGATATTCAAATAGAAAAAGATGGGAAAAAAAGGTTAGTTTATACAATAATATTCCTCTGTTGCTTTGCACAGATTTAATTGATTTCAACATTTCATCATAAACTGACATCGATTAGAGAACCAGTGAAAAACCTGTCAGAGAGTACTGCCAGACAACTGTTTCATCAGCCTAATTTGTACTGACTGTTCAGCAGTACGCACCCCTACGCCATGGATCGAACCAAAGACCTTCTTTCTGGTTACAAGACGAGCGAACTCGTAGACCATTAGGCCACTGGGACCTGTTCCAATGGTAGAAGTTAGAATTCATCGGCTGGCCATTGGATCAGGTCCCAGTGACTTATTCGGTCGGTCGGTCGGTTTTCGACATAGAACTTTGCACATATGTGCACCAGTTCAAGTCGCCACACTCCCTCAGTGTAGCACACAAAGCAACAGAAGAAAGTAGGAGAAATGCATAACATAGACAGTAAACAGAGGTGTGAGACAAAGGAATAGTAATAACGAAGAGCAAAACAGTTTCATTGGAAATCATAAGTCACAAGGAGTGGATGCATCTGCGCTGTCATTGAGAACGATGAGTTTGAGCCACGTCACCAATTGTTTCCAACCATTGGTTTTTACCGTCCCGAGGACCCCAACCAGTCAGTAAGGAAGTCTACACCTTCCTACGTGACCGGCTTAGACTAACTGTTGTACATTTAATTGACTGGTGCCGTGTTTTCGTTTGACCGCCGCTAGCTCCTTTCCAGCCTGACCGTATATCAGCTAACATTGCCCATTGTCGAGGAAGGCGATGACTAGGCACGCATACGTAACACATGTCCTAACCATCTCAGTCGATATACTTTCACAGACTCGTCGACTGATTTCCCCTCCTTACCTAGAACTCGATTAAGGTCTAACCTCAATATTGCTCACCTTATTATACCAGAGACCTTATGGTCCACGAGCTCAGTGGCCTTGTAACCAGGAGGTCCTAGGTTCGAACCCCGCGATGTGGGGGCGTACCGACGAAGGGATAGTCCCAAACTAGGCTGACGAAACAGTTGGTTATCCATTACTCCCATGTGATTTTCCAGTGGTTCTCTAACTGATGTCAGCTCATGATCAAATCCTCCAACAAATCAAACAAAATCCCCCCCCCAAAAAAAATCAGTACTTGATAATCAAAAATTATATAATTTAAAAAAGTAAACATTTAAATAACACCCACTTGATTGACATTCAACATATTGAAGTAATTTTACACGTATAGGAGTATACAATTTCGGGATAATATTTGTGTGCAATTCATTCTGTAGGCGTTCAATCCGTTCAATTCGATCACACATTTGTTTAGCGTGTTGACGCAGTGTATCTGTTATTTCCTACAAAAAATGATAAGAATCAGGATAAAAAGAAATGGTATATCCTCTTCTTTCTCACGAATCTTGTGATTTAAATTGTGTGATCAATTCATCATCTTTTAATATAGCGAAAATGCATTAATTCAGACATCTAAAACACAAAATAATTGAGCCGGCAAAGAATATCCTTCTCGATTATTTCCACCTTCTCTGGCTCTACAATTATATATACATATGTTTATATACATAGAATATTCTAGAATAGTAGTCAATAACAATATCGGTGTGTTTTTTAAATAATATCGATTTGTAAAGTAAGATCACAATGGAATACAGCTCATTAAAGATGCTTAAATAATAATCATAATAAAGATATAATACCAAATAGAATATCAATTAAAATTAAAGAAATTTCCACAAAAATTGAGGATCATTCAAACCTAGATGGCCAAGGTAAGTATGATGTCTGAACTAACTTCTTTTGGATACATAAATTAGGTTTCTTAATGTGGATCCCAACAGCCAGTCTCAGCAATATTTAGTAATCGGACTCTTAAGGCGAAATTGAGATTTTTTGGTATTCGGTAACTGACTTTGAAAGCTGCCTCGTTAACATCAATCTTGTGTTCTGTGTATCCACAAGATGAGATAGAATAGCGCTATGTGAATAGATTTTGTTTGTCCTTTACTTAACCAACCACTATGCAGAGGGTGATGTTCGGAAATCCGACTAACTGTAGGGCCTATGCAACTAACTGGCTCACTCCACAGGAGGCGCCTTGGTCTTTGTCAGATCGCCCAACCAACAAGGATAGCCTATTGCCCAGCCAATAAGAACAACAATAACCCATCTCCACGGCTGTGTGAGTCGACTATATTGTGGTAAAGAAAATCTAATAAATATGATGTGTGTTGTTTGTTTCCTAATAAGCATACAGTAAGCTTACAGTCACTGGTTTAGCGGTAGAAGGCCCGCCAACCATGCACGTGGTCCGGGGATCGATTCTTGGCCGACGCACTCCTAAACCTTGCTGAACTGATAGTAAGGCCGGTAAAGAGGGAAAACGAAAACCACTGCTAGCGGAACTTCAAAGTTCAAGATTGAAGCTCTATGTTCCACTCTGAACACAAAAGGAGTACCGGAACAGCCTTTGTCTTTTGATATTTGTGTGACTCAGTGAAGCGGAAGGTACAAAGGATGAAAAGGCACATTAGCGTAGCAGTCGAGTTTATTACCGTTATAAAAACAATTAACGGCGCAGATATAACAGAGATAAAGTTTCATATCTTTTAAAAGAGGGATAATAAGTACACAAACACGAATTAATAACACTGAATAAAATAGAATTAACGCTTGGAGTACCCAACCTGTCATATGCTCCGATGGTGTTCTCGTGACTTTTGTTGCCAGATCTACCAAGGACGATGGGATAGTACGAGACCTAATGGTTGTGTGCAAGGTTTGAAGAAGGCTGTATGTTATTTGCATGCGTCTCGCCCTGATAATGTTTGGTGCGTCGGTGGCATAGCGGTAAGGACGCTCGCCGACCATTCACATGGTCCGGGGTTCGATCCCCGGCCGACGCACTCCTTTACCTCGCTAAGCCAGAAATAGTGCTAGTGAAGAGGAAAGGTTGGGCATGAGGCCAGCAACCCCATCCTGTAAAATAAACACTGCTACAGAAACTTCTAGCCACTAGCTTGCAGCCCTATGTTCCACTGGGGAATGTGAAGGAAAAAAACGCTTGGAGAACTATCTAGTGATAAATCGTGAACAGTAGGCTCCATCAAGTCGGGGTCTCAGGACGGGTACACACACTGACACATGCCAATGACACTAGTTAGCTGTGAAACTGTATTTATCACGGAATGGCTGAGGTTAGAATTCATAGGTTGCCCGTGAGATTGTTTTTCACCGCTTGCATGATCGATCAATCAGCTTGCTTAGTTACCTTAAAGTAGTGAGTTTGATCCTCAACAATTGGATCATGGATGAATACTGCTTGTTAAAGAGTTACAAACCCGGATGATAAAAGACATATTCAGTAGCTCCTGGAGGCTTTCAGTGGTTCCCTAAGAAAGTTTGTAGTTCAGTGAAGGATTAATTTACTTAAGAGGTTTCTCTTCAAGATTCAAAATAGAACTGTGAAATTCAAGTAAAATTAATTTTTATGAATTTAAATAAAAAACCAAGATTATCAATCAGCATTTTATTTGTATTTTAAAATTGGATCGAAAAGTTCGGCTTCCGTCGACATGTAGACTCTTTGTGCAGATGCTTCGACGACGTCTGAAGATTACCATGAAGTAATTTGGTAGATTTGATGATATTAGATAGTTGGAGGCAATCGGTCACATGAAGCCTTGCCATGACCTAGGTTTCGTGCTAGTTGGCACTTATCAGTCAGCAAGGCGTATCTGCAACCTTGAAGGAACTCATGTATGTCCCTCATGAGACTCGAACCCATGTCACCCGGTCAGCACTGCAGTCAGAGACGTTATCACTGAGGAGCTAGTGGGGCTCGCGACCTACCTCCTGCAGGACTGTAGTGGATACTTTGATTGGCCACTAGTTAGTAACGAGTGTGATGTGTCTGGCTAGTCCTTTATTTGGTGCAGACTGAATTCTACCAGTCAGTCAGGTTTGCAACGTGGCCACCATGCCACTAGGTAACTCGCCAATCGCCTCTAACCATTTAATATCATCAAATCAATGTACACCATGATGGCGAGCTACCTAGTGGCATGGTGGCCACATTGCAAACCTGACTGACTGATAGAATTCAGTCTGCACCAAATAAAGGACTAGCTAGACACATCGCACCAATTACTGACTAGTGTCCAATGAAAATAATTTGGTAGATGGTGGTTGACTAGCAGTGGAATCTAGGAAGTGCATTTCTTTTGTATTTGTGACTCATCATCTGGGTGTGCCTGTATTCTCCAGGAGATGATAGTGTCCCCCCCCCTCCCCATGAGACTCGAAACCAATACTAGACCCAAGTGGTGTAGTGGAAAACGCTTTTGGCGTTTGAAACAATCTTAGACTGAAATGTTCGCTTAAAGTTGACGTGTTGGTTTCTACAACAGACGCTTAGAGAATGACTTCATCTTAAGAGAAATAATGTTACTCAGTTAATAAATTTGATAAATATTCGGGAAGACATTGAAAAGATGAATGAAAAAAGTGATACCACGATAGTTAGAAGAATACACTTTGGAGATGGTATTTAAACATCACTCTGAGATTTTTTGTTGGCCTGAAAGTGAGAAATGAAACGCAGCTAGAACGACATGACACATATGATTAGACATTGTAACATATTATTATTATTCCCTTGGGTTCCTAGTGGAACACAGGGCTTCAACTACACGTCTCCACTTGCTTCTGTCTTCTGCTGTACTTTTCACTTGCATCCATGTTAGTCCATACTGTTTCAACTCCTCTTCACACAATCTCCTCCATGTCACCCTTGCACTGACGTTCAACTCGCCACTTCCCTTTCGGGTTCCACTCGAGCAATGGCCTGATGCGCGATGTCACCCAGCGGCCTCCTCAGCCAGTGAGTGTCCAATCCATCTCCACTTTCTCCTGCATATTTGTTGAGCGATTGGTTCTTGTTTTGTTTGTTCCCATAGTTTCTTGTTGGTGATTCTTTCCGGCGGTCATCTGATCTTCAGCATAGAACGAAGACAGCTGTTGAAAAAGGTCTGCGACAGGCTGTTGGAAGTATTCTTTGTGACACACTGGCCAAGTTTCTGATCCGTATAGTAGAACTGACTGACTTGACGTTTGTATTGAAAATCCGAATTTTGTTGTTGAGTGTTGCTGAGTGACGAAGATTTCCAGATTGGTTTCAGGTTGATGAATGTGTTTCTCGCCATCACGATTCTCGATTTGACATCCTCGTCCGTTCTTCCTGTAGTTGAGACAATGTTCCCTAGATAAGTGAATGAAGTAACCCCTTTCAAATCGCTCCCGTTAAGGGTGACTGACGGTGGATGTTGCTGCTGCTGCTGTTGTTGTTGTTGGTTGGTTATTTTCATAACCTCCGTCTTGTGTATGTTCACCTGGAGTCCTGTCTTTGCTGCTTCTTCGACCAGTTTGTCGGTTTTCGCTTGTAAGTCTTCGATTTTATGTGACTAATTGACTGGTTTCGATGTAGAACTTTGCACAGATGTGCACCAGTTCCAGTTGCCACACTCCCTCCATGTACAAGGCGACGCAATAGAAGTGAGTAGCGAGAGATAATAAACAGAAATATGAAGTAAAAAGAATAGTAATATGGAAGAACAATAGATATTTATTGAATATGACTGGCAAATCACAATGAATTGAATGCATTTGCACCGTCAATGAGAACTATTTAGAGCCATATCACCAAATGTCTCCAGATGTTGGTTTTTAGCCTCGCGAGGACCCCGACCAGGAAGTCTAGACCACTTTATGTGGTTCGCTCAAACCAACTATCAGAGATTTTATGGACTGATGACACGTTTTTCTTATGTTCACCACTGGTTCCTTTCCAACCTGATCCTATATCAGCTAACATTGCCCATCAGTCTAGGAAGGTAATAGCTTGGGATGCATGCGTAAAACATGTCCTAACCATCTCACAGTCGGTGTAGCTTTACAACCTCATCGATTAAATTCCCCCCACTCTTACCCAAAAAACTCGATGACCTCCTGTTCTAACACTTTTCAAATCAAATTACTACTCATTCCCCAGTTAGAAAAGTTATGGACGATGTTTATCATCATCACAATAGGCATACACACAGGAAGTCATTTTGAAATACACCACACCTTCGAAGTTGGAAGAAGAAGCATCAGAGATAGAACTTCACTTCAGGTGAACATAGAGAAAACAGAGGTGATGAATATACTTGACCAACACAAACAGCAGCAACAACAACAACAGACAACAATCAGCATAAATGGGAGAAATGTGAAAGAAGTAGCCTCCTTTACTTACCTACCTGGGAAGCATCGTTTCAACTACAGACCGGCGGAACTGACG